GATTACTTGACCTAGAACTATTCTGCTGATACAGATCAAATACTGATCAGTACAGATCTGTATCTGTATTATACAGATGAAATAAGAATTTAATAGGTGTACCTTGTTCACCTCTAGAAACACCATGCTCAACTAGCCAACGCCCTGGCCCTTGAAGCTGCAGCCCTAAATGCAGCGATTCTGTTATGGGCCCGTATCACTAAATTCGGCCTGATCCAACAAGAGTTCCGTGATTATCACATCCTTCACATCTACTGTCACATATATTTTCCCGATTGTTGTCTGTGTACAATAGAACTCTTTAGTAACTCTTCTGGGCTACGCTGTACCTCCTCATGGGCCATATTTTGTATTTTACCTTTAGGGATCTGCTGGGACTTGAGTCCAGTTGTAGGTCTGGGAGCAAAAAAAGAGATAGGTGGGGAGGTCCTGAGGGCACTCAGCACTATTTTGTAAACATCTGATGGTGTGTGTGTGTGTGTGTGTGTGTGTGTGTGTGTGTGTGTAAGTATAAGGGGAACCTACAGCTTCCTCAACCAATGCAGGGTCAGTCTTCCCAGATGGAAGTGGAGAAACCATTTCTGGGGGTGGTGAAGCTACTTCTACTGGCAAAGAAGAAGTTAGGGGTTCAAGGCTCCTGCTTCTGTCATGGCCTTCCTGTGTGTCATTTCAGTGTCCAGGTCCTAATCTCAGTCAGTGTGATCACTTTAGCAGTAGACATCCCACGAGGCTAGGAATTCAGTTTAGGTTGTGACTGAGACTCTTGCAAGATGAGATAAAAAAATCAAGAAAGGAAGCATATGGGGTGGAGAGCGGTGATGCAGAGGTAGAGGCAGGCGAGCCGCCCGGCGCCCTTCTGTGCAGACACTTGCATGCGCACCACTCCTACACCAGGGCCGCAGGCTGATTTCAGCAAGGGGAGAGATGCTAGTGCAGTGGCTTAGGATGCTGTGCACACAGCTGACATCTCAGTGACAGACAGTTCTCAATGCTGAGACAAAACGCCCAGCACCCAAAGTTAGAGGAGGAAAGGTTTATTTAGCTCGCAATTTGTAGAGGTTTCAGTACATAATGGCCTGGCTGTAAGGCAGGGTGGCACATGGCAGAGGGTGACAATTCAGGGCAGGCCGGGGGCAGGGTGTGGAAGACAGCAAAAGCAGCAAGAGTGAAAGGAGAAAACAGGCCTCCTTCTCCTTTTATGTTATCCAGACTGTTGGGGTCAGGCCAGTGACAGTCCAATTGGTGGACTGATTGATCCATCACTCTTCCCTAATCCCAGCACTGCACTATAAATCAGTCACAAACTGTAGATTCAGCCACCTCAGAAGAAGGCCCATCTGAAACTGTACAAGGCTTTGCGGGGACATCTGAACCCAAACCATAACAGCTGCTTTGTGCATTGCTTGGATTTGTATACTCGATTGTCTGTGAAGTATGTGGCTGTAAGGGACCATTTCTCTCACACCACCTGGAAGTATAACAGTTCAATCCTGACACAACCACCTGGATCTGGCACAGGCTCCACAGTTAGAGGCTCGGCCCTAACACACCTGCCCCTCTCAGTCAAGAGTTGCAAGCCTTCAGCCTCCTGTACTTCTGCAGGCTATTACTTAGGAGTTCCCTAACCTTTTCAGCTCCCATAATCTGCTAGAACGACTCACAGAGTTCAGGAAAGGGCTTTGTTTACTGTGCTGGGTTAATGTAAAGGCTACAACTCAGGAATAGGCAGATAGAAGCAATGCAGAGCACAGCATATGAGGGGTTGCGCTGGGGTTGCTGCTCAGCAGCAAGTGTCTGCCTGGGAAGCATAAGGTCCTGAGTTCAACTTCCAGTTAAAAAAAAAAAATAGATTATGAGGGGAGAGGCTGTGCAGAGTATCCACGCCTTCTGCAAGTGTACTACCCTCTCGGGACCTCCAGGGTTCACCAAATAGGACATTTTTCACCCCCCAACATTCAGGGATTTTAAAAATAGAGATTCCATTATGTATCCATGGTTGATTAAATCATTAGCTCTTGGTTATTCCTTGCATCCAGCCTTCTCCCCCCTCTCCCTGGAGGCAGGGGGTGGGACAGAAAGTTCCAAGCTTGTCACCAACAGCTGACTTTTGGTGGCCGGCTCTCATCCCAAAGCTATCTGTGGGTTCACCAACTGTGCTCCTTAGACCAGAAGGCACTAAAACCACCCTGTCACTCAGGATGTAGCAAAGGCTTCAGGGGCTCGGTGCCACACTCACTGAAAAATCAGATCTCTCTTCCCAATGCCACACTCGTGCTGTAGTTTGCAATCTAAGAAGTTTGAAGAGCTCTGGTTTAGAACGGTGGCCCCAAGACCAGCAGCATCAGTGTTTCTTGACATTCGGTTAAAAGTGCTGATTACTGAGTTCTGCCCCAGACAACTAAACTAGAATCCAAAGAATGGTGAGTCCAAAGAATCTGTATTTTAGTAAAAACCAAACAAACCCCACCTTCTCAAAGTTCCACAACCACGAACTGAACCTAAACTGAGGGTGTCCCCACCTTCACCTGTGACACCAAGAGCTGAGGAATCTGCAGTGCTGGTGGTTACAGGGCAAGGAGGATCCTTTGTCTTGCTTGTTGTCAGGGGTCACACCAACAGGTGGCTGACATTGAGGTGGGTCTTAGAGGCTGGTTTCTTTTTCCAAGTTCAGGCAAATCCTTAACGCAAAGGCAGAACATGGTCTAGTTTCTTACCACACAATTTGACCCTTCGTTGCGGAATCACAGTTCCCACGAGAGGCCAGTTCCTTGAAAGGGGCTGCTGTGAGGCCTAAATGGCAAACAGCAGGCCAGCAGGGGCCAGTCCCTCCTTACTAGGTGCTGGCAGTCACAAGCATAATAGATGCTCAAGAGATTTGATTGATTGTTAATTGACTTCACTGGGGAGGGAGGCAGGCTAGTCTGGTTTGTGCCTCTGATTTTGCCAGGCCTGGAGACAAGAAAGAACCCCTAATTAGAAAGAAAAGGAGGAAGGGAAAAAAGGAGGCATGATTCAGTATTCATAGGAGCAATGGGAGCCATCACCCTTTCCCCGGCAGGACCAGTTGAAGCGGTCATTTCTCCTCAGTCACAGTCACAGGAGGAAGGGGACCTTGGAGGTCACAGACCCCACCCCCACTCAGTCAGGCTCCTGAGACAGCAAGCGGTAGAGATGGGGGCAGAACCGATTTCTGAAGATAGATACTGCCGGCTGCATCTCTCCACAGACCGCACCACTTCATCTCCATGGAAACCTCTGAAGACTGGGAAAAGTGCAGAACGTGGGGGAAAGGACAGCGCTAGGCTGAATGGCACCTACTTCCTGTTTCTTTCCGCTCTCATTCCTTTCTGAAAGGGCTGTTGACCCAGACCGGACACTGTAGCCAGAAAAAGCCTCAGCTGGAATTAGGGAGCTCCTGTCTCCCCCGCCCCTAGAGATTTACCTGTAACCCTGTACCCCCCCCCTTCAGAATCTGCCCCTGGCGCCAAATGTGTGCCAGTGAAATATCTGTGCATCTCTAATGGCTTTAGGGCACTGCCCTAAGCTTAGGCTACTTATATTCCCCCACGCCACGTGTCCACATGAGAGAAATCGCCAGATTTCAGCAGCCAGCATGCCAGTCCTCTTTCCGTGTTCCCAGAATAAGGGCCTCTTTTGCTTTATACTCTCATCTTTTGGGAATATTTTTCATCTTCTGGAAATAATCCTATCACTTTTCACTCTCATTCCTTTCCACAGCTTCTCTCCTGTAGTTTTCTTTTTAATGCCTTTTCCTGATTCCTGATTCCCATGCATAGAGACCTGGCCTACAATGCCAGCAAGCTGAGGCCACTAAACCTTCAGATTGGCTCTCAGCTGTCCCGCCAAGCACGTTCCAGCATCACCTGTCTCCCTGGCCAATGCAGATTTCTGCTGCTCCAAACTCACAGTTGGCTTCGTGCACCGGGGCACCTATTATTATCAGCAGGAAACACCTCGTTGGGTTCTTTGAAAATATATCTGATCCTTGAATGACCAGAAACCACAATGAAAGCGCTAATCCAAAGCTGCCTCACTTCCTCTGGATCTTTAACCCTTTTCTGAATCTTTCTCGAGAGGCTGATATGAAAACAGTTCCCTGACCTGTGCAGACAGAGAGTAAAGTGCCCAAACCTTTGGGGAGAGAGGAACCTTTGTCCAAATCTTGCATCACAGGTGAGCGCGGTAGTATCTTCTCGTCACAGCCTGTCATCCTTACAGGAAGCATTTTGAAAAGCCCTCAATACCCCGGGGTAAATGTGCACTGCTAGAAACTGCACCCAGGGTATTTTGGGGCTTGGTTTCTCGCAGGTGGAAGAGGAAGAACTCAGAAGCACGCGTGGAAGGGCCTGTTCATTGCAAAGCGTACTGGGGGACCAGTAACCAGATTGGCCCTTGCTTAGCCTTTTCCTGCTCTGCCCAACAGAATGAGACTCTTGCTGCCTCTCAGGTACAGCATCGGAGCTGTGTGTCTCTGCCACTGATGAGAAGGGCTGGCTGGCGTGCACGCGGTGTCGGGGCCGTTCTAGATGGGAATCAGTCGTGGGCATCTGACAGGTGACAGCCAAGCAGCGCAGCACCGGAGCTGCTGCACAAATGAAAAGGGCCGCAGGCAGGGTCTGGAGTGCGCACGTGAACGTGCAGCCTGGGCTCTAGGGGCGGTTGTGCCCACGGTGGGACGGGGCTGGCACCTGCGTGACCCCACCCCTCGTGGGACAGGGGCGCTAAGTCTGCCCGCCCTCGCGCAACAGGCGTCTGGATTAGGAGAAGCGGACCGGCAGGCGAGCCTGGCGCAGGCGTCCTTTGTGCTCAGGACCGCCGCCCCTCTTCCAGTGCCCGATCTTCCCCCCACCCCCAGCTTCTTCTCAGACGCTGGGCGGGGACGGAGGCGGGGCCGAGGCTGTGAAGGAGCGCGGCCGGCGGCGAGCCCTGGGCGCCTGGATCGCTGGGGCGAGCGCGCCTCCCGCAGGCGGGGAGCGCCGGGCGCTGAGGCCGAGACGCTGGGGCGTGGGGTGGGCCGCCTCCTTTTGTCTGCACGCGACAGCCGCGGAGGGCGCCCGAGGCCCGATGCCGGGACCCGCAGCCAGGCAGGCTGCGCGCCCTGCCAGCGACACCGGGGCACACACTTCCCTGGCTCCCGATGCCAGGCGCCGCGGTGAGGAAGACGCCGAGCTTCGCCTCTGAAATAAACCGGAGTGCCCGGCGTGTCCCGGAGAGTTGACCCTGGCTGCGAGCGATCCTGGTTTTGTGCCCGGCGAGAGCGAGGACCAGGACGTGGGCGCGGGCTGAGCATCCTCGGGAGGGGACGCGAGGCGCGGTTTTGCTTGGCTTCGCACTGCGCGCACGGAGCGAGCTTTCTGTGAAATGCTGTTTTGGTTAAAAGAAGAAATGGCCACCCAGGAGCTCACCCGGCGACTGGCCACGGTGATCACCCACGTCGGTAAACGAGCTTCTTGGCCCCTGGGGTGGCACTGGTGGATGGCGCCTCTCGCGGGGAGGTCCTGGGGTTTTCGCTTCCAGGCCTTGGGGTAGGAGGGCCCTGTGACAGGCCTAGGGGTGAGGCCGTGGAGGTCCTAACATCTGCACGACAGGTACTTTCACCGGTTGGTTGCCAAGTCTGTGGAGCCCTGAATGGAGAGGCACAAGAGCTGGCGCGGCCCTCTGGGTGGGCAGGGGTAGTTGTGCTGTGATTTGTGGATAGCATGAAAGGAGGGACCCCAGGAGCAGCATCGGGTGTGGGCGCTTACCAGAGGGAACTGCTGCCAAATCCCTGCAGATTTGTTCCTGAGAAAGTGCAAGGCAGATGCGGGTTCCTCATTATGGGGTAGCCGCGCCTCTGCTCCCTGCCTGTTACTGCTCTGTCCAGAGAGGTGGACACCCGCTTGGTGAGCCCAGATGAGGGCTCTGTGCGTCCAGGGAGACCAAACAAGTCTAAGTCCCTTGCATGAGTTAAAATGACATTAACAAACCTGTTAGCAATGCACCCATGAAAGGAAACTGCTTTCTTTGCTCCTGAATTACAGGTTGTCATGGACTGACAGACCCTTGTGTACTAAAGAGACAGCTAGTGAGGCTGCCACCCATTCCTTCTCCTTAGTGTTTTCTTCCTGCGTCTCTTCCGGGCTGGCCCGGGAGAGAGGCGCACACTGCTTCAGAACTTGTGGCTGCCCTCCCTCTGAGACTTGCCTTTGAATAGGAGTCATTTTTATTGCTAAAGCCAGGAAGTGCTTGTCTTAGTTTTCTATGCACTTGGTGAAACTGTTCTTTGGGTTCTTATGGGTCAGGTGTTTCTTTGATAAGTGAATCACCCTTGTGCTTTGACTATCCTGGTCATTGTGTTTGGTGTACATTTCCATAATATGATGTGGACATGCACTTTGTGAAGGTGCTCTGGAGGGCCAGTCTACTTTTGATAATTCAGCTTTAAAAAACGTTTCTTGCACTGAGTTGGGACTCTAAAAGACAAAAGGTTAGCAGAATCCTCTCGAGGGCGATGGAATGGGAAACACTGCTAAAGGCAGGGTAAAATAAGAAAAATTCTCCTAGTAAACAGAGCTTGGGATTTGAAATTGATTGAATGCTGAGATGATTCTGCTGTCACTTGAGAATGGAGATACAATTTGATAAATGTGCTGTTAAGTGATTTTATCATCATGGGAATATCATCCTGTTCCAAAACTAGCAGACTAGAGAGGCTCCAAAGTCCCTAGGAAATAGGATATGATGAGAGTGCACTTTTCTTTGTTGTTTTTTTTTCCTCTTTTTTTCCTTTTTTCTGGTACCAGGGATCAAACTCATGACCACCTGCTTGCAAGGCAGGTGCTTATGCCACTGAGCTAAATCCCCAGCCCCCGATGAGAGTGCTCTTGTGTATGACCTCTGTGACTGCCCAAAGTGTCATCATGCAGTGCATGACTGTATTCGTGTGGGCATGAAATTGTGATGTAGGGAAATGGTAGTGGCTGGGGTAATGACCAGCTAGATTTGTGACCTTCCCTGGTCAAGTTATTTCACCTTAAATTGAAAAATTGGAGTGTTAATCCTTCCTCATTGGTTCAAGAGCAATTTGTGAAAATACGTGAGATGCATTTTACAACAATGTCTCAACTGGGACAATACAGATGTTTTATTAATCATTTCATTGGTTCCTCTGTTACAAGATCTTGGATGAGTCTCTGAGCATCTCTCAGAGTGAAGCCTGCAAACTGATAAATGAGGACATTGACCTGGATGAGTTTTATTTTTAAAAAAAATCTTTTCTGGGAGGAGGTCTCACAGTGTTGCTCTAGTTAGTTTCAAATCCCTGGATTCAAGCACTCCTCCTGCCTCAGCCTCCTGAGTAGCTGGGACCATACAGCCACTGTTCCAGGCAGTCTGGATGATTACTAAGCACCCTGCATTTCTTTGGACATAGGATATTCCTGAAGATCCAGTAGGCAGTATTCTTGGAAAAACCTGACTGCCTGTGCAAGCCGGGCTATGATGTGTTCTTGCCCAGCTCCCTTCCTCTTTTCTCCCAGTGACAGCTCTGTGCAGGGCTGTACCGCTTGCATGTTTGCTGTAGTTTCTGCTCCTTAAGAACAGCTAATGGCCTCTGGCCACTTGTGTGCTTTACAACATTGTGTCTCACCCTCATGTGTAATCTGATAAACCTGTGAAATATGTGGGATGCATTTTATCTCTGCTTTACAAATGAAGGACTTGGACTGGGGAGGGGGGCTATAGTTTGAGTGTGTCCCCTCAAAAACAGGCATCGGAAACTTGATTTCCAGGGCAACAGATTCCGGGATGGAGTCCAGTGGGAGGTGTTCAGGTTGTGAGGACTCCACCATCATGCACTAGTTACTGCCAGGTCAGAGAGCACTTGAGGCGGCAGGTTTAATCCCTCACTTTCTCTCACCCTGTCTTTGCCATCTGCCATGGGATGGTTAAAGCAGATGGAACCCCCAACCCTGGACTTCCTGGCTTCCAGAACTGCAAGCCAGGAAACTACTACTATTTAGAAGTTACCCAGTCTGTGGTATCTTGTCATAACAGCAGAAAGTGGACCAAGACACTGACTCAAGAAGAAATAGAAAAGCTGAGCAGATCAGTAATAAAATAATGAATTAGTGATAGTAATAACATATAAAAACCTCACAAAGAAAAGCTCAGAACCAGATGGCTTTTTCTGATGAATTCTACCAAATATTTAAAAAATTAGTAGCAAGTCTTCATAAACTCTTACCAAAAAAAATTAGAAAAGTGAGAGTAATTATCACATCATTTTAGGCATTACCTGAATACTAACACCAGAAAAAAATGCACAAGTATGAAGAGTACAGACAGCATTTGCTACTTAGACGTGAAAATCCTCAACAAAATTCTAACAACAGATTCAGCAACATATGAAAAAGATTATACCCTATGATCAAGTGATAATGCAAGGTTAATTTAGCATCCAAAAACAAATCAATTGATGTAATATACTGTATTAAAAGAGTGGAGGACAAAAGCCACATAATCCCCTCAATAGAAGCAGAAAAAGCATTTAACAACTCAACAATCTTTGTGATTAAACAGCCAGAAAACCAACTAGAAATGAAGGGAGTTTCTTGCACCTGATAAAGGGTATTAGTGGAAAACTTGTGAGTAACATCATAGGTAATTTGGAATGGCTAAGTATTTTTCCCTCAAGAATAGTACAAAGATGTCTACCCTCACCTCTTCTATTCAATGTTATACTGGAGGTTCCAACCAGAGAAAGTAAGGGAGAAAATGAAACAAAAGGCACTCACATTGGAAAGGAAGAAGTAAAGCCATCTGTTTCTGTAGCATGATCTCAGATAGGAAATCCTAACCGTTTTTTTTTTTAAATTAGAAACAATAATGACTCAACAATGTTGCCAGATACAAGATCAATATACAAAAATCAACTATTTCTAAAGACTAGTAACAAACAGTTGGAAAATGACATTTAAAAGCAATTTAATTTACAGCAATGTCAAGAGAATAAAATGAGAATGAATGTAATAAAAGAAGTCTGAAAAATACTGCTGAAAGAAATTAAGAAAGGCCTGAATCAATGGGAAGGCATCCGTGGTTCACAGATCTGAAGACACATCCCACATGGTTCAGCAGAGTCCAAGAGAAAAAGCATATGCTGATTTGTTAAGTGAATATTATTTTTCCTTAGGGAGGTTCATTAAAGCTGGATTTATTTTCTAGATGCAGCATGGAAATATGCTGTGAGCTTTTTTGTCATTGTGGTATTGTTTCAGTGTTCTATTATTGGGTAATAAACTACCCCAAACTTAGCGGATGAAGACAGCGGTCATCTAATTATGCCTCATCATTCAACTGGGATGGTAGCTAGGATCCCATGGCTGGTAACTGGGTGTTCCTCCCTGTGATCTCACCTCTTTTCATGGTTGAGTGCCAGTCCCATCTTCAAGGGCCTCTCCATCGGAACTATCTGGAATTCTTACCTGATAGGCCAAGTTTCCAAGAAAGGTGAAGCCAAGATTTTCTAAGCACATCTTGATGCTTGGACTCCAATCCTGTTAAGTCACTGCTTTCAGGCTTTTTTGGTCAAAGTAGCTATGAACCCAGTGCAGATTTAAGAGGAAACATAAGCTGTGTCTCTTGATGGAAGGATCCACACATGTACTCGGGGACAGGTGGTGCTACTGGCCGCTGTGTTTGTTTCCTATTGTTGCTGCAGTGGATGTGCTAACTTTAAACAATTCAGTTTTAAACATACGTAGTTTTTTCTGCAGTTCAGACACAGGTCTTATTTGGTCACAGTTAAGGTGTCAGCAGAGTTATGTTCCTTTCTGCACTGGGCTTTCTAAGGGAGAATCCTTTTGCAGCTTTTGGAAGCTTCCTGCATTCCTGGGCTTGTGGCCCTGTTCTTCTTTTTCCGAAGCCAGCAGTGTTAGCCTGGGCTTTCTTGTGTTACCATGTCTCTAGCTTCTTCTTTTCTTTTTCTCTTCTATGCTTAATGGCCCTTGTTGAGTACATTGAGTCCTCTGGGTAATCCAGGATAATCTCTGTGTTTTAGAGTCAACTGATTAGCAACTTAATTCTATCTACAGCCTAACATATTCTCAGTTTCCAGGGAGTAGACTGTAGATGTTTTGAGAGATGGGGAAGAAATTTTTTTTTTTTGTATCACAACTGCTACCTTGAAGGCTGTCTCAGCTGGTAATGTGTTCATTGCTTTATAGAAATAGGTAATGTGGGAGGTATGGTCAGAAAATAGAGCGTGTGTTTAAGTTTTTAAAAATTTCATTACAGTAAAAGGCACAGAACACTCCTCACTGCTGTGAACACTTTTATCTGTTGTTTTTGACACTTTCTGGAGCAGCACCGGAAGGCCCGTCCTGTGACCGCCTTTAGTTGTAGTATGGGGCTGCTCCCGTGACCTCAGTGGATTCAAAACATTCACCTTTCATTGTCGTTTAGACTTTGGGAAGGAGGCAAGTATTACACAGTGCTGGTCTGGTGAAAAGCAGATAAGGATGTACGGAACGTGTTCATTTGGCCGTCTCTCGGTTAGATGGCATTTGCCTGAAGCATTGGCTGGAGTTTTGATTGAGAAACTCCTGATAGAGGACTTCTAGCACTGCTTTGGAAAGTGGCAAGAACAGGGGGATAAGTGTGCTTGAAGTAAGGAGAGTGTTTGGCAGGGCGAGTAACAACAAGGTGTCTTTTTCTGTAATAAAATAATAATTAAACTTTTTAGTCACAGTATTTTTTGATCACCCATTGTATAGCATGTGCATCTGAGGTGTCTGTGAGATGGTGAAGTTTGCTAGTGACCCGAGTCAGGCCCTGGATTTATTCAGATGCCCCAGACTGAGGGAATGTGGTTCCTTATGCTCATGATGTGAAGTGGCAGCCTTTGGTGGTGGCCCAGTCAGGTAGGACCTGACGTGTCATGATGACGATAGCTTCCCATGTGACAGACGATGGAAACTTGTCAGATTGGTTCCCTAGAATGAGTGCTGCAATGCGCGGTGATTACCTCTAGTGTAGAGCATCAAGGACCATTCCTACCTTCAAGCATGAAGTAAGTGTGATGTAAAGTGAGATGAGATGGCTTCAGATGCCAGGACATCGTCGTCCTGCCTTTTTCCTTTACCTTGGCATTTTATAGGACTGTCCAGGATGGTTTCTTGCCTCTAGCACCTGGGGCTTCTTCCTGGGGGTCTTTTAGGCAGGGCGCCAGGCCAATCCTGACACAAATCCAGTGGCTTCTCATTTGAATTCTCTCCACTGGAGCTGTACTTCCGCTGTCTGCTTTGCAAAGCCGAAGACAAAACTCAGAAGTAGAACCAGCTACCCAAGTATGATTGGCTCTCACGCTTGTGTGCCACCCTCAAGGTGCGCCTATCAGCAGTGACAGATTAAAAAAGCAGAGAGGAGGGGTAGCAGCAGATTCTGGCTAACAGCAGTGCAGTCTTCAGGTTTTGAATGAGTTTGTTAGCCCAGGGCATTTGATTTGCTTATGATGAATGTATCCCTAACGCTTTTCATCCAGAACTCCGTGTTGGTCTGCACACAGGATTCTACTGTTGTCTGCTCTTGGAAAACCCTGTGGGATTCACAGTCTGGCTGAGGGTTCAGCTCCCAAGCAAGAAACTGGAGACTCCTAGTAGGAGCTCAGATGTTTAGACATTAGCCATTTAAATATACAGAACCAGCAGAGAGAGGCTGGAGGCTTGGCTCAGTGGCAGAGTGCTTACCTAGCATACACAAGGCCCTGGGTTCAAGTCCCACCCACCACACATGCACATCAGATACTGATACTGAAGAACAACAACAAAACACACATTATCCTCCCTTGCCTCAAAACCAGTAGAGAGAAGATCCCTGAACATTTTCTCCTTTGATTCTAGACACATCTTTTCTGGGATGGCAGCTCTGCATGTGAACTAGTCTACTGGCAAATGCTTAGGAGTAAAATAAAATTAAGACATTAGACTGAGGATGGGAAGAGGAGGGTGGAGAAGAGATGCAACGAGACCTCTGTTCTGAAAGTGCTCAGTCAGGTCCTGAGATGTGTGGTTCCCTCTCTCCAGTGTCACCTGGTCACTGGGCTCTGTTGGTACTGCTCCTTCTCTCCAGGTCAGCTCTCTGCTCACTTATCAATAGGTGTGGACCTCCGATGGCCACCTTAACCCTGTCTGTGGTCAGCTCCAGTGATAATCACTGATTGCCTCTTCTCTCGGGATCTCCACATTTTGTGTCTGGAGACACAGATTGGCCCAACTCAAAGCAAACAGGCATTTGTGACCCTATCAGCTTTGGGTTCAGTCAGCAGCTCTGTCCTGGGATGAGAGAAGTTCTTAGAGAAGAGGGCTTTGGACTGAGCAGTCACCCCAAAACAAATCTAATAATGTGGCAGGGACTTGCTTTATGCTTTCAACTTTTGGAGTCAGTAAGAAAATGGGCAGAGTGTTTTATTTGTTCTGTGTTGGTTCTTGTTGTCGTCATTGTTGTTTTATGGTGCAGGGCTCGAACCCTGGGCCTTGTGCCTGCTGGGCCAGTGTGTACCACTGAGCCACATCCCCAGCCTGGCAAAAGAGACGCCTGGCCCTGTGTTCCATGTGTCTCTGTTTTCTTTGGCATGTGTTCCAAGGCTATTTTCCCTGTGTGGCTTCTGAGGTGCTCAGGTACCACAGCTCCATGAGATGCCACTGTGACCCTGCCCACAGCCTGCAGGCTGCTGTAGGGGGAGTACAAGGGGGCCCCTGAGCTCCTCACACCAGCTTAGGAACAGAAGAGCACCTGTTTCAACTGTGTAATAAATAAAGGGCCTGGGGCTTTGGCAGGAAGGCTTGTGAAGCACTGGACTGGAACAGTTTGAAGCCCAGGCCGCTGTCTATGTCAAGGGGTAGCCCAAAAAAATCACAAATCAGTTGTCAGTACTGGCCGAGGTGTAAGAGTTTGGATAAGAAAGTGGTCGTGAGCTTCGTCAGTAATTCAAGAAAGTGCTAAGATGTAGGCAAGGAGAAAGGGGGCTCTTTCTCAATTCCGGGGCTCTTCCTGTTTAGTCTACTTTCTGCTCGGTCCTCCAAGGTCAGTGACCTTCCCTGGACAAGGGAGCGACCTTGAGCTGTGCCTTGAAGGAAGGGTGATATCAGGCCGGAAGGCAGACCTGCAGGGTCTCAGCTTCTTCCCTTTTTCCACAGGATGCCTCCACAGGCAAATGGGCGAGACTGAGACCGTAATCCTAAGTGAGATAAACCAGACACACATGTGTGAAACCGTATTGTCTCCTAGTGTGAGAAGCTGAAAGGATAAATAAGATCCAAAATGTACAATAGTAGCTGTAAAATGGGAAGAAACTTCAGAAGGAAAGAGAAATTGGGATGGGGGAATGGAGAAAAGAAAGAAAGAAAGACAAAAAAGAAAAAAATATGAGTGTTAAAATAGTTACACTACTAATTTCTCTAAGTTCATTGAAAAGAAAGGTTTGTGCTAATATTGTTTGGAAAGTTAGATGCCTATATCTTGTACTCTGAGTATCAATTTAAAGATGATAATACACAGTGTATTAACCATTGTTACCCTCCTATTATCTTGTTTTGAAATTTTTATTTTTTTCTCTTTAAAATAAAAAATTTTAAAAGAATTAGAGTGATTTTTAATTTTTGTAGGGCTTTTTATTTAGATAAAAAAGCAAAACAGAAAAAAGGATAGAAATAATAAGAAATGACTAGTCAAAAAAAACAGTAAGAAATCACTAGTTGATAAATTATGTATATGTATGTTTAAGTGTGTGAGACTTGCTTTATGCTTTCAAGATGACCATAATACTAAGTTTTTTTAGTTCATCAAACAGAATGGTTTGCATTGTCATTGTTTGATTGTCCATTTTTTATGCTTTGATTTTGTAACTTGAACAACTAACTTTAAAATAAAATTTTAAAAAAGGAAAAATCTTGGATTTAGCTGGAGGGCATGGAAATAATATGTAAACGATTTTTTTTTCCTGCCTTGCCTGGTGATTCATTCTGCTGGGCTTCATGGAGTTATGAATGATGTTATCATCATCACCACCATTTGTTTCCTGCCTGTTGGGCATCATACATTGTGCTTTATATAGTTGCTAACTTAATTAAATTTGATTGGAAGCTCTAGTCTGTTTTCTGTGGAGAGGGAATTGTGAAGGATAAATGGATTAGGAAACTTGCACAAGGTTATACGATGAGAAAGGATCCAAGTAGGAATTTAGGTCTGGCTAGCTTTCAGCTCCATACATGATCACATTTGGTTTAACTTCCCGTTACAGAGTTGTTTATAAACTAGTAAACTAGTGTTACTAGTGAGTTTAAAGTTTTGGTGTTTTTGCAAAGGCCTAATGAAATCCGAACGTGTTAATCTATAAGTCTAAGTATTTTACGAGTCACTTGAAATACTGACTTATTAATAGTCACTTTCTTCCAAGGAAAAACTGTCAGTTAAAACTTAAGAGTTTACTTTGTAGTTTTCAAATATACAGAAGTGATAAATATGAATAAATATGAAATGCTTAGACTGCAGTAAAGCTTTTAAGGAAAAAATGCTTAGGACTGCTGCCTGATAGCACCTTTTATGCTAAGTACCTGAATGTTTTTTAAGCCTAATGGAGTTACAGCTTCCTCCTGTAATGGCAAGGTGACAACACTACAACACACATAGTGTGAAGAGTCCTACGTTTAAAGGACTTTTACTACGAAGGAGACTCCAGGGCAAAGCGTACACACAAGGGCAAAATGCAGGAGCAGGGTGGCTTAGCAGACATACTGTGGATTTCTTTCTTTACTTAGTTACATGATCCCTAATCCTGCCCAGCCCAGTTTTGGTTTGTGTCTGTTTTTCCTCCACTTTGTATGGGATTAGTTTAAATTCATTGTGGTCTTGTCTTTTGTATCCCAAGAAGCTAGAATTCAATTGAAGAGATACTTGTGCCTGTTTTGTTTTATTTAACCTCCAATTGAGACTAACCACACTCCCAAGAGCTCTGGAAGCTGGGCATGGGGCCAGCGCAGAGGTGGGGCATGAACAGCTTGGCATGACCCCTGCCCAGGAGCAGATGGAGGCCCAAGGGGAGTTTTCCAAGCTGGCAATGAGGTGTTTGTGGCTAGGGACCCCAGAGACTTTGCAGTGGAGCTGGGACCATCAGGATCCAGAAAGTGCCCTCCAGCCAGTCCGCTCCTGAGGCCTCCCAGACCCTTCCTGCCACCATGGTACTGGCTCTTTTCTTCCACTGTGGTTCCCGGCTCCTGCCTCAGTTTCCTCTTTTTCCTGCTTGCCTAGTTAAGTAAGTTGAAATAGGACCTGGACTGGGAAGATGGGCTTCCTCAACCTCCAGGACCTTTCGTGTCTATTGCATTATTTTTTCTTCCAGAAACCAAAAGAAACTTTGCTAACAAAGGAGAAAAAAGCCCTCTGGCTGTGAGTTTTAAACCTTGACATATGGTACAGAAATGAGAAGGAAAATTCCACTCCAGTCCAATCTGCCCTTCAGGTATGGGGGGAGCATTTCCTTCCTCAGTGCCTTGGGAAAACTAACCTAGATTTTTAAAGAAAAAGTTTGTGTTTCCTGGTCATTTTCTGTGGCTTTGCAGTTCTGTGATCTAAAAAAGCAGCAGAAGGAGCAGGCAGGGAGTGATCATGGTGCGACATTTCAGAAAGGTTTTAAAACTGTGTTTATAAAATTAACATGTGGTCTGTGTTTAAGGTTGAGGTGACTCACTATTAAGATATCACTTCTTCCTAAATTGCTCATAAATTAAACGTAACTCCAGTGAAAGTCTATGAAGCATTTTCATAGAAATGTATATTTGGCTAAAAGATAACTGTAGTAGGCAAAGCCAATCATAATTGACAATCCTTTTTTTCGGAAAGAGAACACATTTAGAGGATTTACATGAAATAATTTCAATATTCACTGTGAGCCAAAGTGATCAAGATAGAGTGATGCTATCAAAAGGATGGAATTCTAGACCAGTGGACCAGAAAAGAGATTTCTGAAATAGGCCCCCATAAATATGAGTTAATTGATTTTTGACTAAGGGAATAAAGCAATTTGACAGGGAAAGGCAGAAGACTGTACATCACTCTGTATACAGAAATTAACTCAATGTGGTCATGGATTCTAAATGGAAAACCTAGTTTGCTATTAGAAAACATGGCAGAAAGCCTTTGGAACCTTGATCGGACAGAGTTCTTTTGCTCAAAAACAAGTGTGTGATTTGCAAAAGAGGAATTTGATAAAGTACACTTTGTAAGAATTGAAAACACCAGGCATGGTGGTGCACGTTTGCCGAGCGTCAGATCACTGTGAGTTGGAGCCCAGCCTGGGGGGTTCAAGGACAGCCTCAGCTACATAGTCAGACCTTGTCTCAAAAAAAAAAAAAAAAAAAAAGATATAAACATACACTTACTCTACAACTCAGGAATCCCATCCTCTCGAAGATGAAAACTCATGGTCACTCCAGAAGCTGTATGTGAATATCACAGCAGTCTTATTCTTAGCCACCAAACTTGGAAACAACCTAAATATACCTCGCTTGGGGAATGGATAACCCAGGATGGCCCACCTGCCCAAGGAACAGTCAATACTGAGAAGAAACGAATTCTTGGTACACATGGCAACACAAATCAATCTGAACTGCACTGTGCTAAGGGAGAGATGCCAGGCTCAAAAGGGGTATCATAACGGAGTCCATTTGTATGACATTGGGAAAAGGTAAAACTACAGAATGGAATGGTTTCCATGGGTAAGAGGTGGTGGTCTGAGTAGAGGGGAAACTACTTTGTGTACTGATTGTGGCAATGGTTACATGGCTGCAAGTATTTGTCAAAACCCATACAACTGCCAGGCGTGGTGGCTCAGGCCTCTAATCCCAGTGCTTGGGAAGTTGAGGCAGAAGATTACTTTGAGTGTGAGGCCAGCCTAAGCTCCATGGTAAATTCAAGGCCAGCCTGAACTATGTAGTGAGACCCTGTCTCAAAGCAAATGAGCCCTCCCATAAAACCATACAACTGTATACTTAAAAGAATGTATTTTTATCTATCATGTATTAGTCAGCTTTTTATTATCACAGCAAAACACCAGAGATACTCAAGATATAAAGAGAAAAGGTTTATTTTGGTTCCCATATTTGGAGGTTCCAGACTAAGTTCTGTTGGCCTCCTTGCTGTGCCCACAGCACATCATGGTGAGAGCAGAAAGTGGACCAGTACCACTTACATCATGAGTCAGGTAGCAGAAATGGGCAGTAGGGGGAGTGCCCTGCAGTTCCCTTTAAGGGTCCACCCCAATAACCTAAAGACCTCTCACTTAGCCCCACCTTTTAAAGGTTCCACCACCTCTGTGTAGGATCACTTGGGGACCAAGTCTTTTTTTTTTTTTTTTTTTTTTTTTGTCTCTTTCCTTTTTATCGGTACTGGGGATCGAACTCACAACTGCCTGCTTACAATGCAGGCACTTATGCTGCTGAGCTAAATCCCCAGCCCCTGGGAACCAAGTCTTTTAACATAGCCTTGGGAGGATGTGCAACATTCAAATTATGCAATGCTGTCTATCTGTTAAAATATGTTAGAGTGGTAACAAATAGAAACAGCACAGAAAAAACTATACATGCTTATTGTATAACACTTGGAAAATGCAGAAAAATACAAAGAAGATCTTTAGTTCTATATCCTAGTAATAACCAGTTATCCTTGGAGTACCCTTCCAGTTTTTTCTTTTGACGTTTTTATATATTTAAAGTGATATAATCTAGCTTACTATATGTAGACATAGATAAAGATACATACATATATAATACAGATACAGTAATGTAAATTGTATCCTGCCTTTAAAAACTACACTATCAATTAAATTATTTTAGAAACAATACCCTATATTATAAAACACCTATATCAACAGCATGTGAATGACTACATTGTTTTCTAATTTAATTTATTATTAAATTTATTGCCTGATTGTTGGTCATATAGGTTATTTCATATAGCATAATAGTTAACTATTAATGTTATTTTAAATAATGCAGGGAGTATCTCTGCTTGAAAAATTCTGCATATATTTCACACACACACACACACACACACACACACACACACACACACACTCACTCATATTTTTTTTTTTTTTGGTACCAGGGATAGAACTCACAACCTCATGCTTGCCAGGCAGGCACTTAAGTGACTGAGCTAAATCACCGGCTCACATTTTTTAAATGAAGTTCTAGAAAATATTATTGAGCAATGAGTATGCATCTATTAAATTTTAAAATATGTTTCAGCTAGATTGCCTTCTAGGAAACTTATACCATTTAGAAACCCATCAACAGGGTATCGCAGGCCCTGTATTCACCCGATCTCTTCTTTAGCATTTGGGATTCATTTATTCATGTGTTAAATGGAGATAATGATAGAGAATGTTGTGTTCTTTTAAGATAATGTCTCTTACGTCTATTGTACAATACCTGTGATGTCATTAACACTTTGGTAATGTCCATTTTATGGCTTATTACTTTAATTTTTGCTCATTTAATGGACAAAAGTGGTGTATTATTCACTTTAATTGCATTTTAAAAATTACTGGTAAATGGTGCTGTTTTTTTTCAGTTGGGGGACAGTAGATCTTGGAGATTGAACCCACAAATGCTATACCACTGAGTTTCACCCCATCTTTTACTTTTTCTGACCCAGGGCCTCACTAACTCATCCATGCAGGACTCAAACTTTCAATCCTCCGGCCTTACCCTCTCTTAGAGCTAGGATTACAGACATGAGTCACCCTGCCTGGGTACAGAGCTAACTTTTACTATACATACTTTGTTTACTATACATACGTATGTTTAATGTGTCTTAAGTTTTGTATTGTGCTTTGTTCATGTGAGGTTTGGGACAAAGTTTTTTGGGGAAATTTTTTCACATGGTAAAGGTAGTAAGCTTTTGTTAGGCTTATAGCAGGTATTTTTTTCCAGCTTGCTGCTTACTTAATGATCTTGTTTTTGATACTTTTGTGGGTTTTAGCAATGCTGGCTATTGAACCTAAGATCTTGCACATGGTAGGCAAATGCTCTGCTACTGAGCTACATCCTCAGCCTTTGAAATATAAAGATCTAAAATTTTATGAATGAGTCACGCATAGTAGCATATGCCTGTAACCTTAGCCCTTGAGAAGCTGGGGCAGGAGGATCATAACTGAGGCCAACCCCGGGCTACATAGTGAGACCCTGTCTCAAAACAAGCAAAAACAAATGACAACAAAACTGTCGTAAAATGTATAGATACTTTACATTATGATTTCTTCTCTTGCTTTTATATCCTTCTTCCTGTAGAGAATGAGTAAATAATCATCAGTTTTCTTCTAGTACTTTTGAGTGGTTTTTAAATTTAACTTTAAATTTCTGATACATACATACTTTCTCTAATATATTAAATGAGACTCAGTTTTCTCAGTAACATTATAAATACTCCTTCTAAATTGATGATTCCTCAGTTATTTGGGAGTTTATAATGTTTCTAGGTCTTGTTTTGTTCTTCTCTTTATTTTTACATTAGTTCTACATGTTTTGATTATTGCCAGGTAATATTTTTAAATATTTGCCAGAAATATTGCTACATAATATCTTTAATTATCTTCTAGGAGAAATTCCCCTTCTTACCAATCTTTAAAAAATTTTTACTTTCTAGCCTTTTTGATATAGCACTTTTTTTTTTTGTCTTTTTCCTTTTTACCAGTACCAGGAATTAAACTCACGACTGCCTGCTTACAAGGCAGGCATTTATGCCACTGAGCTAAATCCCCAGCCCCAACTTTCTAGCCTTTTTAATTCTTTCAAATAAACTTTATAATCATTAATACCCTCATCTCTATAAAGTTAGCACAATAGAATTGTACTAAGACTGTAATTTAGGAAGAATTGATATTTTAAAGTTAAAAAAATTTTGCCCTTCTAGAAATATATCCCATTTAAATATTTTCTCTCAGTGAAGTTTTCTTATTCTTGTAATGAAGGTCTCACACATTCTTTTTTTTATTTAAAGAAAGACAAAACAAAATAGAAAATGGGCAGAAACAGTACATACTTTCAAAGAAAAGAAATAAACAGTAATAAATCACTAGTTGATGTATACATATTGTCCCCCCACAAATAGTTGTTCAAGATACAAAAGTGGAACATATAAATGGGAATTCAACCAGGGAGACTGCAAACAGTTCTGTTCAAATATCCAACAAAAACTAAGTAATATGGCTATCAATCCTATACACTTAGACATGTACACATTTATCCATATCTTCATTTATGTTGAGAGCTAACAAAATTTAGTAGATTAAAATCCTTCTGAACAAAGATTAATAATATTGCTGGATTTCACATCATAACACTCCAGAATCAGCACTGAGTACTACAGTGCCCCTTTCTTTCCTTCAAAGTATTTGTTCATTTCATCATGTGTCATAAGATCAGTTCTCATAAACTGTTTATAAGTTTTATGCAAGCATGAGTCTTAACATGTATTTCTATCCTTTCTATATTAGAGGGAGAAACAGAACAAAGCAGGACAGAACTAAACATTTTCCTATAGACACATAAAACTAAAAAGACATATAAAACTGCTGTATAAGGAATTCTACCATGGTCACTGTGCTGTTTCTTGTTATCATCAACAGAATTGGCTATATAATCAGATAAAGTACAATTGAACATATCAGTACATAACAGAATTAACAGAAATACAACTTTGTAGATAGTGTAGAGCTACAAAAACAGGTGGTAGTCAAATCAGAATGGATATCCTGCTGAATCATTGTCATTTTCAGTATAGTTGTCTATACTCCTCAACTTGATACCAGCAAACTAACAGTTTTAAATAAAATTTGTCAGTAATAAGCAACAATCAAACAAGTCAGATTTAACTATGATAAATCATGATACAACAGTGTAAGTCATATAGGGATCCTGATTGAGTTAATAAGAAATTAAAGATGACCACTGTGCTATGGACAGCTGTCAGTGCCCCTTAGATCCAGTGCTTGTATACAAACTAGGATGGAACAATTTCCAACCAAGCAGAGTGGTGCGAGTAATAGGGGTTTTAATTCCTGATACACTATTAGCTGTATCTTCTGCTGTTGTTTTTTTTTTTTTTGAAGACTATTTCTCCGCTTTGTTCCCCCAGAATGAACTGTGTATTTTTGGATCTCCTCAACACTCATGGTTTTGTATGGCGGGGGCAACCTGCTATTTACCTAAGTGTTTCCAAACTTTCTCACTTCTGGGCTGGATTTCTAGTTATATTTCTTCATTTATTAAAGCCTGTCTGGTCAACCTTTCCATAAATACTGGTCTAGTTACCCCTATTACTCTCTGGTTCAAAGTGATAGTGTTCTATCACTTTGAGTTCCGTTTTCTAATATTTGATTTGGGTCTATATAACCTTCTTCAGGCTAATTATATTTCCTATAAAAAAGAGCCTCTCGGTGGACCCTACCTCTTGATCCACTCTGCCTGACATTCTCTCTTTTTTCCCTTAAGTTAGTGTATCTAGGCCATCTATATTAGAAATTATATCCAACCTTCTTTGCTTCATTTCTGTTGAGCTCTTTTTCTGTCATGAGTTGTCTGTTTGTCTCCTTCATTTTTCTTTCTACTCCATTCATTGTGGCCTCTCTGCCACTGTTTCTGGAATCCTGGTACTTTTCTCTCTCTTTAGAATGTCCTGCAGTATTCTCTGTAGAGTTGGATTGGTAGTTGCGAATTCCCCCAGTTCCTCTTTATCTTGGAAGCACCTTGTTTCTCCATTAATTTCTAGGGACAGTTGTGCAGGATATATCACTCTTGGCTGGAGGTTATTGTCTTTTAAGGCTTGGATTATTTCACCCCATACTCTTCAAGATTTGATGGTTTGTGCCGAGAAGGCTGCTGTAATTCTGATGAGTGTTTCCTTGTAAGTGATCTGTTTCTTGTCTCTGACAGCTTTTAACATTCTGTTCTTATATTGGATTTCTGGAATCTTGATTATTATAGGTCTAGGTATAGTTCTGTTTTGATTGTAGGTGGCTGGAGTACTGTATGCCTCATACATCTGAGCATCTTTTCCTTTTACTATGTTTGTGAAGTTTTCCTTGATTATTTCTGTGAATAGCCTTTGTAGTTCCTTTGTACTCCTACTTCTTCATTCACATTCTTTATTCTTAAGTTATATATCCTCTTGTCATCTTCTAGCCTTTGTATTGTTACTACTTGTTTCCTTGTTATTTTTAAGAAGTTTTTCCTTTCATATTCCCACATTACAAACCTGTCCTCCAGTTCAGATAATCTATCCTTGGTTTCTTTCAAACTGTTATGCCAGCTTTCAATAGAGATTTTAGTTTCCTGGTAATCTCTTTGAATCTGCTTCATGTATTCTATGTTTTCTCTATTTTTTCCATCAAACAATTCCCCCCCCCCTTTTTTTTGTTCTTCCATTCTACCATCTGTTTTTTCTTGGGAGGTATTTAGCATTTCTTTAATTATGCTATTTATATTTTGCTTTACTTGATTAAATACTTCACTTTTGAACTCATCTATGAGGTCCCTATGATATCACCTTATGTCTATTGATGCCATGCCTGATATTGCATGTTTTCTTTCCTCATTCTCCTTTGTGTTTACTTTTCTTGGATCAGTGTTCTCAGGATTGGGGACTGAGGACCCTTTCTTGTTACCTCCTCTTCTCATATTTTTTGTTCCTTCCATACAGGCATGTATAGGAGGCTCAATTTCTTTCTTTGTCAATTTCAGTTTGTCTGAAGTGGGCTGACTAGGTGTTCCCACCCACTGCAGTGTACTAGGAGGTACAGACCCGGGCAGCCTATGATGGACCCGCCCCTCCAGGTCAACCTACTGAAGGCTTCACTGTGTTAGGATGCACTACCAGTCACAGGGACTTGATTTGGGCCTGCCTATTGGGCCTCAGTCTGTGGTGTCACCCAGGTCAAGCACTCCCCACCAATCCAGCTTGAGAAGGGAATATGGGACTGAAGTCACTGCAGCGCCCTGTTCCAGCCAGTCTGCTAGGTCCCAGAATGTCCTCTGTTGGAGCCTCTTTGTCTATGGAAGGGTCTTTATTCCTCTCACTCACCACAGGTAGATGCAGGGTTTCCTGCCAGCTCTGCTCTCAATTGGGTTCGCCGACTCTCACTCTCAGAGTGTTCGTGTCCCCAGTGAGTTGAAACTAGTAGGCTATCCCGGCTGTGCCAATTCAGGCGCAGCAGCAGCAGTGAGTTCAATCTGTGAGTTCTAGCAGCAGCACCAAGACTTTAGCTGTTCCAGTCGTAGCACCTGAACTGCATTTCCAATTGGTTTCTCTCAGCTTAGTCCATTCCTGGGTTGGCAGGATATATCTCCCTCTGCTTAGGACTCCCCATGCTGCACCATTCCTGGAATCTAAGCTGGCTATCTCAGAGAGCCTCTGTAGCTGCTATTATGAACCTGCTGTCTTTTCTCCTCCCCTTAATACATTCTTTATAAAGGTTATTCCCAAGCAGTTTGTGTGATTTTTCTTTTTACTTCTTATTTCCTCGATTGTGAATGCAATCTTTTTTAAAAATGTGTATGTCTTTTGCTGTTTGATGCTGGAGGGTTACGGTATTGATTTTGATTTACTTATTTTATAACCTGCTCTTTTATAGAAATATGACTAAGTTTAATAGTTTTCTGGGTTTTTTTTTCTTCTCTCTTTCCTTTGTGGTACAGGGTCTGGAGCCACAAAGTGCTTTTCCAACTCAGCTATATCCTACATCCCTGTATTTTCTCCTGACATATGGCTTCCCCTTTCCCAATAAGTACTTGTTAAAAAATGCCTGATGGTCATCATCTACAGATAGTGACAATCCCTCATGTTTCATTTCCCATAGCTATGCCTCTCATTTTTGCTTGTTTTTGTGTCAGTCAGAAGGTTCAAAGCAATGCTAAATATATAAGAAATTTTATTTATTTATTTATCAAGACAGGGTCTCACTATGCAGTTCAGGCTGGCCTTAAACTACTATATAACCCAGGTTGACCTCGAACTCATGGTGATCCTCCTGCCTCAGCCTCCCGGGTAGGCATGCACCACCATACCTGGCCTAAGAATTGTTATTTAAAAGAACTGATTGTTTAGCTTTGGGTTTATATTACATAGAAGGTTTTATACTTATTTTTCCTTAAGGTCTTTGTCTTAAACACATGTTAATATCATTTTTAACATTAGCTTAACAAAAATAATTTAAAAACCTAATTACAGTGTCCAACTTACTTTGCATTGTTTAATGATTCTGTACCACACTTCTGTATCTTAGGTTACCAAAGACAATAGGAAGACAGTCTTAGCCTACCTGTGTATTTCATTCACTTTGCACTATTGTTTGGAGATACTTGTAATGCACAAATTATCTGTGAGAGCCACAGTCATAAAGTGGAGTTCTGCTTTAGTCATGTAACTTAGCTTTTAATTAATAAAAAAATTGAGACATCAGAAGTGAAGAACAGTCTTACATACTGCTGTATATTCTTTGTTGTTCAGCTTTAACAACTGTCCTATTTAGCTGTCCTGCTCCATCGAATTCACAAAGGCCGAGCATATGGGGAGGACCATTGTGCAGAGCCACACCCACAATTACATAAAGCAATCAGAAGAATCTTCATCCGGGCACTTTTAGTTTAATCGTGGAAGATGTGCTGTTGGTGTGAATCTTAAATAACACAGAAGGGTGTGGAGTCACATAGACCCCAGTCCCACTCCCTATGGGAACCCATTGGCAGGTTCTGGGGTTCTTCCAGGCGAGCAGCTGGGTGTGCCAAGTCGCCCCATCCCAGGCCAACTGGGGAAAGTCAGTGTAGTCTCCTCACCAAGTATGCAGAGCCATGCAGGTGTTGACTTTTATAAAAGGAGACACAGTCTGAACTGTGTAAGGACAAAAGTGGTCTTCCTGTGATAGGACCTGGCTGAAATAAAATACCAACCCTGGTGCTCTTGTGCTGTGGATAATTTGAATCCCTCTTGAGCTGTGGATCTTTTTCATTCTCCTTACTTTTTAAATTAAATTTTTTTTTTTTTTTTTTTTTTTTGGTGCCGGGAATTGAATGCACAGCCTTATGCTTGACAGGCAGGCGCTTTCTCTCACTGACTATATCCCCAGCCTGTCTCCTTATTTGTGGCTCTGGGAAGCTGATGGGAATATGAAACACATACTGCTTGTGAAAACGATGGCAGGAGGTGAAGCTAAGAGGCCTAAGAGTGCTTGTTTTTCCTTTTATCCTCACAATGGTAGTCAGGAAAAAGATCAGGGCGCCATGCATTTCTGTTGGCTTTATTACTGAAATAATCAGCTATTTCCTAAACAGAGTTACCCAGTACCCCGCCCATTATTTTAGAATTTACTATTAAAGAAAGTGCAGTCCTTTATTGGATACTTGACCTGGATCAAAGGTCAATGTGTGGAATATGGGATTTATAAAAACTACAGTGAAACTGGGCATGGTGGTGCACTCCAGTAATCCCAGCACTCAGGTGGCTAAGGCAGGGGGATCATTGCAAATTTGAGACCAACCTGGGCTACAAAGTGAGGCCAGAGCCAGCTTGAACTGCATAGCGAGACCCTGTCTCAAAAAGAAAAGAAAAAAAAAAAGAGCTACAGTTATGTCATAGAGTTGAGTGTAATCCAATAGGAGATTTTCCAGGATTTTACAGTCAGCTTTTCCCTAGGGTTTTGTAAGCTGCAAAAAGGATGTAATTATGGTTGCTGCCGGGTGGATGCAGTTATATGTACCTTGCCACGGTGGGTTCATATAGTTAGCAAGCTTAGCTGTCAGGTTTAATTGTACTGTAACTCCAGCTGGGTTTTTGTGGTTATTCACATCTGAATGAAAAGACAAAGCAGTTAATATTTATTAAGCAAAAGAGCCCTGCCTTAGTCCGTTTTTCTGTTGCAATAACAGTGTCCCTCGGCAATTCATAAAGGAAAAGTGTTTATTTTGGCTCATGATTCTGGGGGCTGCAAAGTTCAGGAATGTGCAGCTAGCAGCTTGCCTGGCTGCTGGCACAGGATTTGCGCAGCTATAACTCATGGAGGAAAGCAGAAGGGTGAGCAGTCTGCGTGAATGAGAGACACGGATGAGGGGGCCAGATATTCATAACAGCCCACTGCCATGGTAACTAATCTGCCCATGGGGAACTACAACCCTGCATTTGTCTGGAGCCCCAGGAACCAAGCATCTCCTGAAGGCCTCCACTTCCAGCACCATTGCCTCAGCAACTGAATTTGAACACAGGCTTAAGGGGGGCTAGAGTGTCCAAGTCCCACAGGCTGTCTGCGGCGAGCCACGCTGATGGATTGCTCACAAACCGTAGTCTGAAAGCTGGTTTATCTGACTCGCTGTATTAGAAAACTTTCAGACTTTTCATTCATCCTGAGTCAACACAATCACAGTACCCAACCAGTAGAAAAGAAGGAGCTTTTGTAACTATTAGACTCTTGTTATATTACATTTATTCCTATTAATTTAGTTCTTTTCTTCAAAGACTTATGTCCAGGTAATGCCAACCAAGAACGAGTCTCTTGCAAGGAATGATAGGCTGATAGAAATTAGAAAAGTTAGGTGCAGGGTGCTTGGCTGGCGTGTTTGAGGCCCTAGGTTCCGTCCCCAGCATCAAAAGATAATCATGCTCATGTTCACCTTGGGGTTAGGACCCAGGGTTGGTCAGGAAGGGTCTTGAAGTTACATTATGGGGTGGATGGAAATTGTATATCGTCACAACCAGCCGAGTGGTTACCTGGAGTATCTTTTTGTCTAACTTCACTGAAATGTATATTTTGGATACAAATATTTCAAGGTATAAGTTGTCATAAAAGTGTACAGTCATGTTTACATTTTAAAACCTTAGTACAGTAAAAGACGCACACCGTTAACCTCCCTTTAAATACTCCTACTTGCTTACACCACACGCATTTCATCATTCTTGTCCCTTTCTGAAGTGGTTTGGAAGTGCTCTGTCAGGGATGCCTTACAAATACGATTACAAACCACAGTGAATTCTGCTGCCAAGAGCTGTCTAACAGCAAGACGGAGTCATCAGAACACGTAGGTGCGTCCTCACCCACCCTGTTCACCAGAACTGACACCTCGGGTAGCTTCTGGCTCTTCTCCAATGTCAACATGACCATGAAAAGTAAATAGTTTGAATTGATCCAGCCACAACAGTGTAACTGAAGACACTCACAAGGAATTTCAACACTGCTTCGGAAAGTGGCAAGAAGGTTTCTATCAGTGTATCTGAAGGTAGGGGGAGTATTTTGAGGATGATTAATTACAATGTGTTTTTCACTGTAATATTTAAATTTTATTTTATTTTTGCCTTTTTGGGACAGGATCTCTTTATGTAGTTCAGGATAGCCTTAAACTCAGTTTATAGCCCAGGCTAATCTTGAACTTGCAATGATCCTCCTGCCTCAGCCTCCCGAGTGCTGGGACTACAGGTATGTGCCACCATGTGTGGCTTACTGTAATAGATTTTAAAATTTATCATTAACCATATCTTTGACCACATCACACATCTATTTTAATCTGTTCCCTAAAACTAAAGTTAAACACATTTGATAAAATCTTTCCATTTCTATTAATTGCAATCCTTACTGTGAAAAATTAGCTGGAATAAAACAATGAAAGACTGAATATTTGTACACAAAAGCTACTCACCATTTGCTCATTGGCTATTTCACAGTGTGCCTTTTATTAAAGACACAACATTCATAAGCAATTTTGGAGCACAATGTTTATTAGCAATAACTTTAAGCATGAAGAACCAATCAGAGTGTATTAGGGAAACCAGCCTTTGTCTGTGAGTGAGTTTGCTTCACACATCCTGGTTCCAAAAGGCGAGCACCATGCTTCTCGTGGGTGAGGTGGGATGCTGGCCACACAGTGACAGGCAGAGGGCATCCGTCCTTTGAGGAGCATGCTGTACTTTGACCCAGTCCTAGGGAGTAGCTCACAAGACACTCTACTGCCCACCTGGGGGGATTCGAACCACGTGCTGTGCCTATCTCTGCTGCCACCCCATGGTGAGTTCCATGGGCTGTAATGTTGTTGTTTAACCCTCCCCTGGGCCTCGAACTCAGGACCTTGCGCTTGCAGGGAGGGCTTGTGCCTCTGAGCAGCATCCTTGGCCCTGGGCTGCAGTGTTAAGCTCCAGATCTTGTCCTTGGTAGCCAGGGGGAGGTTGGAAGAAAAGGAGAGCAGAAATTTGACATAGGAAAAATATTTTAACAAGAGCATCCCTGTGATTTTATTTTTAATACCTGATGTCTCCTGGCAGGATACCTCTAAAAGGAAATTCTTCTCGCTGGCTCTCATCACATAGTGTCTATCAGGTCCCCCAACTCCTTTGGCTTCAAAGTGAGAGGATAATCTGCCAGGGCCTTAATCCTGTGAGCACTCACCAACCCTGAGTCAACTCTGAGGAATGCAGCGACCTTGACTGAACTTCAAAGGGTTTAGCCAGGAGAGAGGATTAAACCCACTGAGAGCGCAGTTCCTGGGGGGTGTGGAGAGCGCCAGGGAGTTTGCGGTTCCATGGCTTCCCGGTGCACACAGTGCGAGCCCCGCGACCCCGGGTTCTCCCCTTACACCTTGGTGCGGATAACGGAGGCAGAGATGAGGGCGTATTCCCGCTTCCTAGGGAGCTGCATCGCGCTAGAGTACAGGGCAAAAGAAGGTACCCAGTGCGCAATGATGGTTTTTGTGTGTGCGTGTTTTGTTGTTCATCCTCATTCTTAGAACAGTGATTTAACGAAGACATTTTACATTAAACACTTTAACTTTGTGATTGGTTCTTGTTGGGAAGTTTAAAAAGGATTTTCTAAAAGCAAATCCTTAATAAGCTGTTATAATAAATGATCACTGAGATAAGAGTCATAAAGAGATGATCAAAGATTCTGAAAGATCAGGTTTAAAATAGAATAAGGAGGCATAAGCTTATTTTAAAAAGCAGAGATATTGTGTACATGAATACACATCTATCTATCTATCTATAGAAGGGAATTATATTTCAATAAGCTAACTGGCTCATTTTGGATAAAGTGATAAATTTTACTTTTCTTATATTTGTTCCATTGTATTTTACATTTTAAAAATGAACTAGCATATATTGCTTGTATAAAATAAAAAGAATCCAGATTATAGGATTTGTGCTCCTAAAGAAAGACATTAAGTCTGGAAGGTTCGCGGCAGACACAGGAGCTTGGAGACTGATGGTCCTGGGCCAAGCGTCTCCCTTCATGGCTGGCAACCAGGCTGTGACTTTTCAGTGCTTCCCAAGCCTTAGTCCTTGTTGCAGTATGTTTTCTGGCCAGGATGGATTCATGCGCATGCTATATTCTGTACTATACATTGTGCAGTAAATAATAACATGCTATATTCTCAAAGGCAAGGGCCTTGGCATATTTGCTATTTAGGAAAAGGCCCATTTAAAATCAGATTTTGCTTTCCATACATAAAACATACGTGTCCAGTGTAGATAAGCAGAAATCCTTAGGGCACTTGAATTCAGGTATAGATTAGTGCCTTCATTTTACTAAAGTTAAATAGTAATAAGAGCTCAACAGTTTTGTTATCAGTCAGGAGAGGAGAAATAAGTTGGAGGAATAAGGACTTGCGAGTCCTAAGCTCACAGCATTACCTACACCACCGCCACCCTCTAAGGAGGTTGTGACATGGTCATCTGTTGGCTTTGGCTCTCAATTGTTTTATTCTATCTGTGGCTCAAGATAACAAGGAAAGATTGGACGTTTTAATGTAACCTTTTGTCAATGTCTAAATGGCCTTTCTGACTTTACTTCTCTCTGACATTCACAAGGGGCTCTCAGTAAATTTATTGGAATAATACCAGTTCCTTGGGATTGAGGGAATAAAACTGCAATGTATGTTTATAAGATTGTTAGAGGCCAAGAGAATGAGAAGTTGGAGGTTTTCTTTTTTGTTAATTGTCCCCTTTTTAAAGAAAAAAATGTATAGAAAATATAAAAATTAATGCATACCTATCAGTTGGGGTAACACCGGCTGCAGTGGAAAGATCCAGATTTCACTGGATTAACACACACCCAAGCTCCACCCTTGTCCGAAGGCTGTTTCTCCTCAGTGTTTTAGGGACTCTGCTTCTAGGCAGTAGATTTGTCTGAGCCCATGGCTGGGAGTGGGCTGAGGATGGAGGGCACAGATACTAAGGAGACACCCGTGGGCAGTGGAAGGGGCTTGAGGTGTACTGGAAGGAAAGGTAAGCAGAGTTTCAAGCCAGCGTTGTCTGATTTCCCAGGATGCTAACGCTAAAATCAGCACAGAAGGAACTGTTGGGTCCAAAGTTTATACCATCTAGGACTGAGTTTCAAGAATTCTTTATTCTTTTTTTTCAAAGATTTTTATTTTTAATTTTTAAATATGTGTTTTCAGTACATGGTGGTTACAGTCATGTGGGGACTTGACACGCACAATCAAAAAAAATTTTTGTATACATATAGATGACTACTTTATTGAATGACCAGAGAAGACTAGAAGACACACCAAAAAAAATGTTCCTCTGAGCTGTCTTTTCATAAGCAATGGGAAAGAACCAAGAATAATCTAGGACAGTGATGGCGAACACATTAGAGCTTTCAGGAATACAAACAGCTGCTGTAGCATGCGTGCCATTGGTTCGCATACGCCAGCGCTGGTCTTGGAGCTGGGATTCAGTGAACACTTCCTATAGGTTGAATCAGAATCATTACAACTCGTTAGAAAGACCAAATTTCTGACCCCACCTGGACACACTGAATCAACATCTGCATTATTAAAGCCCAGGTGATTTGAGAAGTTCTGTTCTGGTAGTGTTCCCAGAACGGAACACTTATTAAACTGTGGGTGCAGTAGTACATTAAAGGGCCCTTTCCTGAGAAATTAGACAGTTTCGCAGATTTTATTAATCTCCTCTCAGGCCTTGATTACTTTTTATTTGAGGTTACCCTAGCAATGGGAGGAGGAGTGGGGGGGGGGAGTGGGAGGGGAGGGGCTCAGCTTCCCTGTTCCCTGCAGGGCAGGCTCCCCATGACCGGAAGTTCCACCGGCCCCACCCCTTAAGGTTTCTACCGCATCCCCAGTAGTTCTAATCTGAAGCTAAACCTGTATCCCATGAGCCTTTGGGACAGTTAAGATGCAAATGTCAGCCCATGAAAACTTCAGCCCTGGCCTGGGAGAGTGCTCATGTATAGGTTACAATGTGAAATAGCAGAAACGAGGAAGCTTTTAAAAAGTATCTCACTGGGCTGTAAATTTTAAAAAAGAAGAAGGAGTTGGACAAGTATTCAAAAACCACACGTTTCTAGTGCCATTCTAGTCCTCAAAGCACTTTCATACAGGCTTCCCTAAGCTTTGCAGAGCCTGAGGCAAGGGTACCGAAAAGGACCCACATATCGCTAGACAAAATACTTTCTTAGTACACTTTATGTGTTCATATTGATAGAATTTTGGTGCGGCTGAAAAGATAAGTATGAAATATAAATGACTTTTAAGAATGTGAGGAGAGACCCCCTGACCCTCCGGGGTCTCCGGGGGCTGGCATTCTCTCCGTCAGACACGTGGAGTGGAGGCATACATGCAGCTTAGGTTTGGGGTGGAGCCTAAGGGGCATTAGTGATGCACAGGTAGCCCATTGGTATTCACTTGGCGCCACAGGTAAATTCCTAGGGGCGGGGAAGATGACCTCAAGATAGAGCCCCCTGGTTCTCCCTCCCAGCTTCACCGGCTACAGTGTCCCAACTGGGCCAAAATCCTTTCACATATATATCTTATTTATACATTTTAATGTAGTCTATTGTCCTACTTTGACAAACATACTAATAAAAATTAATATATATATATATGAAGCTATGATTTCCATATGTCTGAAGATAAGAAAATGTCAAGATGACTAAATGAAATTGTTGCCCATGCCTGAGTTTTGTTGATAGGCCAGTGATACTTGAATGAGCAGAGTATGTACCCATAGTCATAAGTCTTTAGTTAGCCATTAAAATACAGATTTTTGCCTTCATGTCAGCCAAATCATTATGTTGTTATAATTGAGATTTTTCTCATGATGGAGCTCTGGTGAGAGAGGGATCTACAGTACTTATGATCGAAGTAATATGTCATTGTGTTTCATGAGTTCTGAACGTGCGTGCATCGTAAGTTAGAAGAAGGAAAACGTTGCTGCTTGGTTCTCCCGGACAAGATACTGCATAGTATGATAATCGACAGCATTCATGCCCCAAAAGAAGCCCTGACAAGCTGACTGATGTGTCTTTTCTCTTACCTAAGCACTTCCGCTGGTCAAACCCTGCCTGTCCTCTGAAGCACTGTGTGTCCCTGATGTCGGCAGTAATTCAGCCCACAATCCATCATAGCATTGGGATGCCAGTCGCCTTTTCTTTGGAGGACCTAGACCAAGAGACGTGGGCTCTCTCCGTGGGCTTGGCCAGCTAAGAGAGCGGACGTCATGGCAACCGTGAGCCCCGCCCACACTGAGCTGCGGCCCATGAGTGACAGAGGCACCTTCACTCACGTTTTATGGGAGGGAGGCCGTGGTGTAAGGAGCCTTCCGAGGGCAGAGCATGGGTCAGAGGTGACAAGGAAACTTTCTGGGGGATGAAAGGGAGCTGTATCTTGCGCTGTATCTGTAGCATGGTTATATAAGTGTACATATTGATCAAAATTTAATAGGTTGTGCACTTAGGAGTTGTGCATTCTGTTGCGTGGAAATTATGCTTCAATAAAGTTTTGTTTGTATAAAAATAAGGGCTACGAGACCACACTTTGCATTTTCTGTACAGGAACAAAAGTAGAGGGCCACATATGGCTCTAACTCTTCAGTACGGCTGTGTTGTATAATCTCATGTGTAATATGTATATATTATATATATACACACACGTGTGTGCACAGACACACTGTGATTTCTATTTTTCTTTTGTTATTTTAAGGAGATTAAAAGAAAACAAAACAATAAAAATAAAACAGTAGAATTGATACAGGATTTTGAAACAAGTGATAGAAAATTAACAATAGTCTCTATATTGCATACTGTTATCTTCAAAATAGTTGCTCAGATTTCAAGATACAGGCATGCAAAACAGATCAAACAATACAAGCAATCAGTTTCTTTCTTTGAACTAATAGGATCAACAGTACAGTTTTCTTAACTATCTGTGTGTGTATATATTTTTCCCCTTTTTTTTTCGTTTCCCCATTCCTTTTGAATGTTCTTTCCTTTTGAATAGTTTCATTCTCTTTCACAATATGTATGGTACCTTTTGGATCTTATTTAATCTTTCAGTTTCTTACATGAGGGAGACAATACAATGTTTACACATGTGTATGATTTATTTCACTTAAGAGTACGGTCTCTAGTTGCATCCATTTACCATAAAAGCCTCAAATTTATGCTTATTTATAGCTTGATAGTACTCCATTATATAAAAATACCACATCTTTTTTTTAAAAAAAAAAGCTATTCTTTGGTTGATGGGTATTTGGGTTGTTTCCAAGATTTAGCTATTACAAATTGTGCTGCTATAAATACAGGTGCACATGTATCACTGTGGTCTTCTTTTCTTTTATAAGCCTGACTGCAATGATTTTTCTGTCCTTGACATGGTATCCTAAATCATTTTCTGGGGATATGGACTTCATAATTATATAATTATTGTTTCCATTCCTACATTCTTAACACTACAGTCTACATTGTTACATATAAAGTTTTTATTTTATGGTGTTCTTGTAACATCTTTAGATATAGAACAAATGAGTAAAACAATCTGAAGATTTAAATGACTGTGTGTTGCAGTGGTTAAGATGCTGAACTGTAGGGTTAAGAATAAACCAGGTAGGGGCTGGGGATTTAGCTTAGCGGTTTAAGCGCCTGCCTTGCAAGCAGGCAGTCATGAGTTTGATCCCTGGTACCGAAAAAAAAAAAAAAAAAAAAGAAAAGAATAAACCAGGTTCAAGTTTAGGCTCTGTGGGTCCTTGGACGAACCATTTCAAATCTAGGTCAGTGTTACCCTCAGAGTTGTTTTTTGTTTTTGTTTTTGTTTTTGTTTTTTCCCTCAGAGTTGTTTTAAGGGTTCAGTAATTATGTATAATCACTGGTATGTATATACCAAATACTATACCAAACGACTGTGTATATATACACACCTGTGTATGCATATATATGTATATACAAATATATATGCATACATACATAAATATGTATACACAGTTTGGTATAGAATCAGCCATGCAAGTGCTCAATAATCACTGGGTAAAATACTGTGAAACTGCTTTCTAAACAAACCCGACCTACCTCACTCTCTCAGGGGACACACAAGTGCTAATTGGCTAGCATAGCTTCATCCTTGAGTGTCAGAATCTCAATTATTTTACAGGTAAAATGAAATACAGATTGAGTACCCCTTATCTGAAAGGACTAGAACTGGACACGTTGCAGATTTTGTATTTTTTTTCAGCTTTAGGAATATTTCTGTATATCTCATGAGATATCTTGTGGATGGGTCCCACATCTAATTTTTATATATGCTTTTTATATATAATTTTTATATATGCTTTATATATATATAGCTTCAGGGTAATTATATAATTACCTTTATTACATTTATTTATCTATGTTTTTGTGGTACTGGTGATTGAACCCAGAGCTTTTGTACTGAGCTACATTCCCCAGTCAATTTTAAACAGATGTTTTATTTGGGACAGGATCTTCCCCATGCTGGGTTCAAGTGTGTGACATACCTGCCTCAGCCTCCATGGATGAAACAGTCAGGCTGGTGTCGTATCAGTGCTCAGAATAGTTTGGAGTTTTGGAATAAGGACACCCATGCTGAATTCTATTGCTGTTTTAATTACATTAGCTGACTTCTAGCAAGTTGGGTCCATTAGTAGTTTTGATATTTTAAAATTTTCTTTAAAATTCTTTGGCCTGCTTTTCAAAGGCTTTTTATTCCTTTGTTGATTTATGGTCAAGGCTGCACTCCTAAGTGGGTGCCGGGCAGTTTAGGATGGAACCAGGGAGGTGTGTGTGTGCTCTACCAGGGAGGTGTGTGTGTGCTCTTTCCGACGTGACCGATCAGGTGGAGAAGTGTGGCCGCTGGGTGGCTTTTCTCCAGCCCGCGGCTGGTTTCTGGAGGCCCTCTGGTCTGCAGATGCTTAGCTCCTGCTCAGGCAGTCCGGGGTGGTGATAGATGCTGGCCCGGCTGCCCGGAGGGGGTCATTGCGGTCATTGCGTGGAGGATCAATCTTTTCCTCGTCTCCTCCCTAATTCAGCCCGCAGAGTGCAGAGGTGGGGCCTGGCTCCAGCAGGTGCCATCTGAGTGTTGCCGACAGCTGGAGAGGCGGTGACTCACGGCTCTGTAGCCTTTGTTAGAGACGCTGCTGAGCCCTGATTGGCGGTTTGGCAGACCCGCCCAGGGCTCTGCGCCTGATTCGCTCCGCAGAGCTGGAATGTCGCGGGGTCTGCCGCTCTCCCCTAGTCCCGATGCCACGTTATTCTCCCTCTCACTTATTTAGTTAGTTCTCGCCTGGTGCCCCACCCCTATCACACTCCAGATGGGAATTGCAGAACAGCAAGAGAGGAAGGTAAGGGAGGGTCCTGCCCAGAGCCCACGTTGTTCTCTAGACTAGAAGATGAGGTGCACGGGGGTGCGACTTGCTGCCTGCAGCTGGCTTCCCTTGGGACATGCTGGCCCATTTATTCCAGCACCCAGGAGGCCGGGGACTATGTGTGGCTCGCGAGATCTTTTCTGCACTTTTGGAATCTGAGACTCTGTGTCAAAACTGCCACACTTCTGTATGTTTACCCAGGATAGAAGAGAGGCAAGATTTTCTGAGAAGGCAGAGTTGACCTTGAATTGTAGCTTCCCTTTGCCTCTAGTGGATTAGCTAAGGACAAGTTTCTCCCTAAACCACCTGCACGGAAAGTCACCAGGAGCAAGCAGGAAGCCAGTGCAAAGGACTAGGTGGCCAGGACAGATGTGTACCAGGCGCCAGAGCCTTGCTGGGTCATCACTGCCTGTGTCCAGCTGTCCCTAAGAGAAGGAAGTGTTTTGCAGATGAGAATGAGGATGCAAAGAGCAGGCTTGGTCTGTCCAAAAGGACCAGCCCCTCCCCACTGCAGCAGGTCGTGTTCCCTGGGGACCAAGGAGCACCTGGGCCTCCCCATCCACGCGGCAGTGGGTAGCAGGGGTTGCCAGCCGCGGGCCTGGCCGCGTGTCTCTTGCTACCGAGCATAACTGCGCTCCGTGTGGTGCAGAGCCCAGCCTGCCGCTCTCCCAGCAGTCCACGCTCTCCAGGCATCTCCTGATAGCGGGGAGGGGTGTCCACAGCCACCTCCTCTGAGTCAGAGGCTGAGTCAGGAGCCCTCCTGACCCACTGCAGCCGGCCAGCGCTGGTCATGTGGCACCTTTGCTGGGAAGGCTTCCAGGAGAACCATGTCACCACACTCGCAGGCTGGGCCAAGCACTCTCAGCAAAACCCAAGCCAAAGGCTCCCAGGCTCCTTTCCATTATTCGAACCACAAATCATTGCTTTAGGTTCATTAGGTAATCACACACGACTTAAACCACCGGTCCCCACGATGGGGGACACTGGCTGCCCCTTAGGGTTGGGAGGAGCCTCGCACCCCAGGACCCGGGTCTTGGACCTCAGTCACTTATGGCCCAACTCTCAGCCTAGGTGTGACCCACACTCTATACTTGGTTTGCTGTCACCATAGGCAAGTTCAGAATCACTCTGGGTCTCCAGTTCCTCATTCAGGAAATAAGATAGGTGGGAAGATGATGAGCTTGGTTTATTTCTGTTGTCTCTGCAGATTTTACATCTTTAAAATACTTACTTGGGTTTAAAGCACACTTCAGAGCCAGATGTAGCAGTGCACATCTGTAATCCCAGCATTCAGGAGGCTGAGACAGGAGGATCATTGTGAGTTTGAAACCAGCCTGGGCTACAAAGTGAGCTCAAGGTTAGCCTGAACTGCATAGTGAGACTCTGTCTCAAAAAGACAAAATTAAATCAATAAATAGCACATTTCAGGTACCAAGGTATGGGAACAATAAATCACACCTTAAGATTTTTTTTGTTTTCTTCTGGATTCATCGTCTCATATACGTTCCCTCAGTTACAAAAAAATCATAACCAAGCTCCATTTGTGAATATGTCACTTTCTAGACCCATTTCTATGTGACATGTTACTATAAAGTTTGAAACATGCAGAAGAATTATGTAACAAACCTTCCTGGACTCAAAGCCATGTGTCTTGGTTACTTTTCTCTCCTTGTTGGAACAAAACACTTGACCCCCGAAGTTAAGGAAGGGAAGGTTTATTTAGCTCCCAGTTTGTGGAGGTTTCAGTCCATAATCACCTGGCTCCATGGCAGGGTGGCATGGCACAGGGGCAACACTTCAAGGTGGCTGAAGACAGAAAAAGCAGCCAGAGCAAAAAAAAAAAAAAAAAAAAAAAAGCAGAAAAGAACCAGCCTCTTTTCTTCCATTATACTGTATACCGGCCACCCTCCCTCCAGGGCAGGTATAACACTCATAAAATCTCTCCCTACCCTCCTCCCACCAAACCCTGGCCTCCTGCTGAGTCTTTCCCTTAAACTTCTCAGGGTTGACACAGTGTATCAACCACAACACCATGCTTCAGTGTTAGCCACACCTTGTCAGTCCTGCTTCCCTTTCCTCCCTCTGGGCATGTGTGCTGTTGGCAGAGGGAAGGGATGCCATATTTTTAAGCAAATATCCGGTGTCATATCACTATTCCACATATACAAGAGAATTATCTCTAATTTTAAATGTGGCATTTACTGCCATCCCAAATTAATAGTGGTGCAGGAGTTCTTTGAATTTTGGTGAACTTAGAATGGAAGGGGATTTGGAGTAAAGGAGCTATGGTCTAGATTCACCCTTTTCCCTCAGGGAAAAAAATGATAGACTTGATGAGGAGCTTACAGGGACTTAAGCTGGTGCTTGGCCCACCCCTTGCAAGATTTTCAGAAAGAAATGTGAGAACGATTTCTGTTCTCTGCTCAGAGGAATGGATATAGCTGGAATTTAGTTACTGAGCACATATGGTATATACATCTCCACAAACATCATCTCCTTGAACCTTCACACCAAAATTGAGAGTCAAAGCCAAGACTCTCTGAAGAGCTTCCCAGAAGTTACCTCTTGACTGATCCACAGTAGCATATCCGGAAGGGGGAAAGGGAAAGAAAGAATCAAGTTGTATCAGGTACACACACAAATTCTCTATGATGAATGTGATCATTGTGTCGACCTAGAATGTCCCAATAAAATCTGATGGAAGGAATAAAGAACAGCAGAATATTTACCAGGTGTTTGCTGGGAGGCTGATGCAGGAGTAGAGTGAGCTCATGGCATGCCTGGGCCACATATGAAGCAAGACCCTATCTCAAAAAGAACAAGCTGGGTGCGGTGCCACACACCTATAATCCTGTAATCCTGGCACCCTAAGAGACTGAGGCAGGAGGGGTGAAAGTTCCAGCCTAGCCTGGACAATTCAGTAACTTGTGAGACAGTTTCTCAAAATGAAAACAAGAGCTAAAATGTGGCTCAGTGCAAAGCCCTGGATTCATTCCCCAGTACTGTGTGTGCGTGTGTGCCCACAACATGTACACATGCACACGCACACACGCACACATGCACACACACACACGGTAGCATAGCATGTTCCCGCTGTTCTGTACTGAGTCAATAGAGAATTTTTCCATTTAGTGTCAGTGCAGAGGGCTGTTCAGTTCATGCGTGGATCTAAACAGGTGTTTAACTTCTATAGAAAGAATAACCAGTTCATTCTTTATGAATCCAGGGAAGAGCTGAGGATTTCGCTCAGCAGCACAAGCACCTACCTGGCAAGTGTGAGGTCGTGAGTTTGATCCCTGGTACCAAAAGAAAAGAAGGACACACAAAGAATCCCTGAGAAATAGTTAAATGAGGATAATATGAGAAAAATCAGAGACAGAGACAGAGACAGAGGGGAGAGAGAGAGAGAGAAAGCTTGTAAATGCTTCCTTTTCCCAGCTAACGCATCCCATTCAGTCTTCCTCTCTCTCTAACGCCATTTCCCCAAATGACCCCTGAGTTACGGTGGTTCAGCTTTCCAGTGATGCATAAGTGATCCTCACTGAGCATTCTGATCTTGTCCCAGGCTGGTGACAAGCCATTACAACAGTCTCGGGATGGGAGGCAGTGGCAGCCACCCCAGCCCCCAGTCAGTCAGCCCCACAACCAGGAGAGTAAATGGCAGCACCCTCTGGCTCCCTGTCACCAAGCCATGCTGTGAAGTGGGCTGGGTGTGTCAAGTGTGTGTTTGACTTACAGCAGTTTTGACAAACTGTCCTCGGCAGGTTGAGGGGCAGCTGTGGATGCCTGTCCCAAGGCATGAAAGTCTCTTGTCGGGGTCAACAGATAGTCAGAGGTTTACACTGAAAAGGTTTGGATTTCTGCTTTGGAAATTTGTGAACTTTCAGTCAGTAAGGGGACTCTACGTAGCAACACAGACCTCATTAAATGTGTTTGGCAGTTGGAAGTAGCCCCTTAAAGTTACCTCAAAGTGGGAAGAAAGAAAGAGAGGAAAGGAGGGAGGAAAGAAGGGAAATAAAAACCAGAGTTCCCATTGATCTCAGGCTGACTTGATGACCGTGCTCAGGAGGCCACAGATGTGATTAGGATGTCTGCGGAACATTTTTCCACAGATGCAGCAGAGTGGGCGATCCCTGCTTGGGATGTGACGCCGTGCGTGGGGCTCACACTTCAGGACCTATCACCACCTGGTGTGGCCCCAGGGCTGTGCTTCTGCGGTCCTGGGTGTAGGCTTCACACCACACACAGCTTGGACTTGTGTGTCTCAGGCATTGGGTTTGGTGTCCCCATATATATCCCAGTTTTCCCTTGTGATGGAATTTTTGTGTTTTTCTTTTTCTTTTTTTGAATTCCCCTTTCTAATTGACAGGGATTTAACCTAATTCGTGTTTCATTCATGCAGATGAAATCATGCAGCAGGAAGTCCGGCCCTTGGTGGCAGCGGATATAATAGAACAACTTCACAGACAGTTTGCCATTCTTTCAGGTAAGGGACAAACCCTTCGCGTTTCCACATTCTGTGGGCTCTCCTGGGTGCTGTTCCTTTTGCTTTGGGGTGCATCAGCTCTCCCCACCCCCGAGGAAGGCTTTGCTCTGAGCTGTGAAGAACAGAGATGAAAAAGAGCCAAAGACAAATAAGTGACTAAGGCCCTCAGTGCCAGCTGCCACTGTGCTCTTCCAGGATTCAGCCTCCAGTGAGTCTGAGTTTGAAGGACTCCAGAGCATTTGCTAGCGTTGTTGTTCTGAGACATCTGACTTTTTACTCTCAGCTCTTCCCAGGAGATTCCCCTCAAGCATTTGCTCAGGCCTAGCCAGAGGCCGGTGCTGGTAAGAGGCTGGCAATTTTCCGAGGCTGGTACGGTGCTGAGGAGCTGTCACTACCGAAGGGCCCCTTTCTCATCACTTAGCTGAGCCGGGCATGGCTTAGGAGGTGTGTACCAAGCTCCACACCAAGGCCAGATCTGGGAGCGAGTGGGGGAGATGAGAGGCCCCCATCACAGAGCACCACGCTCCTCAGCTTTGCGTTTCTTCATCTCGGCTCCAGCTCGGAGCATATGCCCCTCTGCAACAGGGGCAGGGAGGGGGAGGCACACTGCTTTCCTTTCTCTAAATCATTTTTAATCTGCTCCAAATTCCTCACAGGCCTCCCCAGCCAGAGGCTCCACCCTGCCTTCCACAGCTTTCCTGCAGGGCATTGGTCAGGGTCAGAAGCAGAGGCCCGAGCCCTGGGTATCGTCCAGATCCTGCTTGGAAGGCAGCCCGATTGCTCACAGTCAGCCTGGGATATTTCTGAGTTCAGGGATGAAGCAGAACCCATAGGTTGGTTAGCAGAGGAGAAACACTCCAGACTTTGGACTCAGAAAATTTTGAGTTCACATTCAACTAGTAGGTTGCCCTGAATCTCAGTTTGTCATCTATAAAATGGATCATATTAAAGGAAAGTGCCCAACATGGTATCTGGCTACAAGAGAAATTAACCTGTAGGACTTTTTTGTTGAGGTATGTAAGACATCTGGAGGTAAAACTCCTAGGGTTGGGTCAGGGCTCAGTGATATTAAGGCTGCCATCTTTCTGATTCCCCTGACATTTCCTTGTTTAAGTCTCAATCCCAAGAAAGCTCCTGCAGCTCCAGACATCAAGTCTGTATCCAAAGCAGAAAGGAAAAAAAAGCAATGCTAATATCATCTGTTTCTTTTGCCAGGAGGGCAGAAGTTTTCCCTGAAGCTTTTGACTAACTTCTACTTATATTTCATTCTAGTAGTATCATGTAGCCATTCCTCACACAAAGAGAATCTGAAAGGCAAGCATTTAGCTTTCTAACTGCCATATGGATGGTGCTTGAGTGGGAGAGGAATTTGGGGATAAATTAGCCACTAATGTTGGCCATAATGCCTTTCCTCTAATCCCACAATGCTGTTCCTTTAACTATGAGGAATTATTCTTTTATATTTCTTTTAATGGCTGTTTCTCCCTTGGAATCATTTTATCTGAATCACTCTCTCCTCATAATAGCTTAATCCTTTTGAAAATGATTAATATTGAATAGATAAAGATCTCTTAGGGCTGTGGAGTCCCCAGTGTAATGTAAGGAAAAATAAAGGAAAGAACTATAGTAAAGCAGTATGTACCTCAGCAATCAGTGTTTCAGTAGAAGTAGTAAGAGCTAATATTCTGTAGTGTGGGCCACCAGTGCCCACGGCAGGTGTGAATGCGGTGTGGGCAGTCGAGTACCTGCGTGACTTTGCTGGAGCACTTTTCTGAACTAGCAAACAGTCATTGAGTTTAAATGCAGAGCAAGGTAAAGGTCTTTCCTTCACTGATAGAATAATCACATTGCTGGAAAACTCAGTGTATGTTAAAACTGTTTCTAAATTCTTTATTCTTACTGGTAAAACAGAGAGTGTAGGTTCAGAGCTTCATAAATGGATTTTTCATCTATATCAAGCATCTAATGAAATATTTACAAATCAAAAAACTGGAAGACAGTTTTTGGGTTTTTTTAGTGGATTTTTGTTGCTGGGGGTGGTGGAATGGGTCATTCAGTGCCCCAGGTCCTGGGATATCCAAAGTGCTTCCCAGGCAATAGGCATCCCAGGTCTTTGTGGGATGGGAAGGGAAAGAGAGGCTTGGCGTCACTGGCCATAGCTGCCTCGCCTCCTCCCCGTTGCCGGTCTCCCCCATTCCTCCGCGGGACATCAGAGCACCCCAAATTCTGCACATACCAGCAGGCCTAGGCCCTTAAGGCAATCACTTAAGTACCGCAAGCACTCATTTCTTCTGTCGCTAGTTCTCTTTTCATGTAAAGAAAAAGTGAGAACCATACTAGGAGGAGTGAGGTTTTTTAAAAATTTTACCTCGTATCAATAATTTGAGGTTCATTGTCTTCAGTGAGACCTTTACTTTTTTCTCTTGCATTACCATATTTTCTCACAAGATGGCGCTAAGTGTCCGGTTGCGGGTGGTCAGGGGTTCTGCTTCCTTAAACCGTGTTTTGTTGCCTGGGCGCTTCAGTTTAAGAAGAAGATTCAGCTGCAGGTGGATGTCCAGGGTTAACCGTGGGGCTTCTCTGGTGTTCAGAATCAGTAATAACCAAGACAGAAAAAAACTGCACCTCTTTTTTTCCGCTTAGGTGGGAAAAGCTTTATTTTAGTCAACTTTAAAAGTAAAAGATTAAAGATTAAGATTGAAGTAAGATTTACTTTAAAAGTAAAGATGTAGCTTAGCGGGCCCTCAGTCCCCTAGTATGTGTGAGGTCTTTAGTTAGATCCCCAGTATAGTTAAAAAAAATAAAACCAAAAAAAGGTAAAATTAAATGACTTAATCCCATCCTAATGAATATTTTAGGGTGTTTTCATTTCTTGAAACATTCATTCAGCAAATGTTTGCTATATAAATTGTAGAGAGTTATCATGCACATAAATTTAGCCTGGCTGGAGATAAATTTTTAAATTTACATTTTTTTGAAACCTTCTCTGGTTGTTGAACTGCCAAGAGAACAAATGCTAAGTAAATCTGATGACACCTCCTCACTCGCTGCGTATCCTTCTCAAAGGCTGACAAATGGCTAATCTCGGGCAGCACAGGATGACTAGAGAGAGTCGGGAGGCTTCGCAGCCCACAGGGCCCGGTGGTGGGCCAGTGGTCCAGGGTGACCACTAAGGACTCTTCCTCGGCGTCAGCTGTGAGACTCCACCTTCACCTCAGAAGGGGACTGAGGGACAAGCCTGGTGGCCGTCAGGGAGGCCGAAGCCACAGGCTCTGGGCACCATGGGCCCCTGCATCACAGACAGCAGGCCGGGCTAGGAAACCAAAGCAGTGTGTGGGCCCATTTCAGGAAGTTTCGAGCCTGAGAGGGCAGCGAGCTTAGGAAGTTAAAACCACTGTCTGCAACACAGAGCCTCCTTCCGCTTTTAGTTTCTCCGGGTTCCAGTGCCCAGCTAGCGAGCCACCCACTTTGAGGTGACCTCCTGGAGGAGGGCAACGCAGCCGCTGGGAGAGGCTCACGCACCATCACTCCACAGAGATGGGGCTGGTGCATTCCGCGTGATGCTCATGAAATCACAGCCCATGCTTGTGTTTGTGGCCTGGTCTTTTTCTTTTTTTTAACCCTGGGGAAGCCACCAAAAATCCTGCTTTATAAGATGGTACAGTGCCAGCCAAAAACATATTATGTGATTTAATGTGGGCTGAAGACCATCAAGCCAGTAGAATACACTTCATCTGACAGGTGTGAACTATTGCAGTTTCGCTCAAAAATTTAAAATATTCATGGTGTCACTGTGAGTTCTCCAGGGCTTCCCTGGGCTTCTGCTGCATAGCGCGGGAACTGAGAGGCTGGAATTTGCACCACATGACTGCATGTAGCTGCAAGGAGATTGGGAATAGAATCTATTTAACTGAATCTCATAGCCTGGATGATTATCACCTCTTTGTAATAGTAATAATTATGATAATGTTCATCCTCCACTGAGCACTTTATCTGTAATAAATATTTATTAAATAAATATTTTATTTTACCTTTTATTTGTGTTTATAGCTAACCTTCACAATATTTTTAATGTAGGTACAGGTATTCTTATTATATAGATAAAAGAAACATATATCATATATAAGATGTATACTATTAGAAATATACATATATATGTAAGAAAACTACTTAGGTTAAGTATCTTGCTTAGCATCATGTAATAATTAAGTGCCAAAGTACAATTTGAGCCAGGCTATTTGATTTTAAAATTCTCTTAACTACCATGCAATATTGCCTTTGATATTTACTGGCTAGCAGTGAAGAGAAATAGTATGTATGCAACATCATTGTCTTTTCTTTTCTTTTTTTCTGTGTTTTTGGGACAGGTTTTCTCTATACAGTTCAGGCTGGTCTTGAGCTCATTTTGTAGCCCAGACTGCTCTCAAACTTGGAATGATCCTCCTGCCTCAGCCTCCTGAGTGCTGGGGTTATAGATAGGCACCACCATGCCCATTTCCTTCTTTATCGAATCAATAATAACTTTTATACAGCAGTGATCCTCAATGGACTCAACACTGAGTTCTTACGATGCCATGAAACAAAAAAATGAAGAATGGAAACTTCCTAAAAATAGTTGTGCTGAAGTTCTGCAAATTGCAGTCTGAGACAGAACAGATAGACAATGCGACTGCCCACATTCACCTCCCCTGAAGGGGCGATGCTGACACCCTTGGTAACCCCCCCCCCCCCGCCGCCTGTCTTTGTTGCAGGTGGCCGTGGGAAGGATGGCGCTCCCATCATCACTTTCCCGGAGTTCGTGGGGTTCAAGCACATCCAGGAGGAGGACTTCCTGAATGTGCTCACCTACCTGACCAGCATCCCCAGGTGAGCTCACTTGAGGTCGCCGGCTGTCAGCTTTCCCATCACTGACAACTTGAGGACAGGTTTATTGTGACTTACAGTTTTATGGTCTGCAGGCTCCAGGGCAGACACAGGAAGTGAAGAGGCACGGCAGACAAGCCTCTGTCCAGTCTATGGCAGGCAGGAAGCAGACAGCCAACAGCAGGGCCAGGGACAGAAATACACCCTTCCATGTCATGCCACAGTGAGCCACCTCCAGCCAGGCCACACAATCTAGCAGCACACTGATGAACACACGCTCCCCCATCGAATCACCTTTCACTCCCCTGAGGATCTGGGGGGACATTTTAGGTCTAAACCATACAATGTCCTCATGGCATTTTGCATGCAACAAGTTGGGCTAAGAATTTTGCAGAAGCAGAGTCAGTACTTGCAAAGAGAGAGAGAACGCAACAGGAGACAAATCCTGTCGGTGTGGGGCCCTTCTGCACATGTAGGAGCCCTTAGTAAACACCAAGCAGCTGATGAACAAACAGAGTCCCCCGATGAGTCCTGGTCTTCCACTTGGTCACTCTTAACTGATCTGGCTTTCTGGGTTGTGTCACTTAAGGAGCTCAAACCACATCACAGCTACGTATTTAATTTCTCTTTCCTAAGCAAGAAGGCGAGGGGCAAAATTTATCATTGTCATTGTCTCAGTGAAAGTGGTTCTAAGAGAGAAAGGTCAGAGGTGCAAATACACAAGTTAAAAAAGAGTCGAATCCTCTCAAAGAAGGATGATGATGCAACGCAAGTTCCCAGAAAGAGAACAATCCGTCTTCGAAAGGCACAGAATGAAGTAAATCATAAAGATGAGAGTGGAAATGCAGGAACTTGAGACTTTAAAAATAATAGAGGATCGGTGAGTCAGGGTTGGTTCTTTGAAAGGATCAGGAGGGGATCTGAGGATGGGGGAGATGGGAGGAGAGGAGAGGGCAGAGAAAAGGACCCGGATGTGATATGTGCAAGCACTGATTTCCTGCGAGGAATGTACTATGTATCACGATCACAGACTAATAAAACTGAGAAATAACACATTTTAGTAGAAAAAGCAAGGTAAAGAATTATAGGGGTGTGTGCAATAAATCATATAAAAATCACGCAGATAATTGCCATTGCCCAATGGGGAAACTGAGGCATAGAACAAGGAAATGAGGGAACCAAGGATGAAAATTGTGCTCCTAGCTCAGCCCAAGAGCAAAATGTTTCCCGGCGTTCGTTGGCTTCGCCCTCCCCAGCCCAGGTCTCACAGCTGTGAGTCACTTCAGGCAATATCCCCGGGTCTCCAAGGGGTGGGAGGTGGCCTAGGGTCACACTATCACCACGTTTCACTGACGAAGACAGCAGGGGCTGGGGTCCAAGTCCTGATCCAGACAGGCGAGGCCTCGTCCTGCGTGGGTTTACACCGTGCATGAGGTTGCCGCGTCCTTCACTGGCAGCACCGCGGTGCCCCCCGCGCTTGGCTCCATTGCTTCATATGAGCTGGAGGTAAACGCACAGCTTTGGGACCCAGAGGTCGCCTGGAGTCCGATGCTGCTGAGGAAGATCAGCACGCCCTCTGCTCTAGCCAAACCCACCCCAGAGGGCTGTGTTTTGCTTTCTTTCACCTATCTTGCTTCTCAGGAGAGGCTAGAGACTCCTTCCAGTACGCCTTCAGTCACCTTGACATCCGGCTTCAGCAGTTTCTCCTTTTCAGTAACACTTAGGTCATGGCTCACCCACTGCCCCTCTCCACCACCCCTACTCCTTGGTGGTAGCCTGAGCAGCCTGGGGAACCCTGGGCTGCTGGAGGAAAAGCATATGTGGGGTTGGGGCCTGGCTCACTTGGTTCTGCCCCACCCCCAGTGTCCCCCCAGGCAGGACTCCTCCCCATTCCTCAGCCCTCAGCCTACACCTGTCTCTAGGGAAACCATCCAGACCCAGTTCTGGGCTCTACTCTGGCAGACTCTGGCAGACGCGCTCTCTCCTTTACCTCCCCCACTCCCTGAGCTTCCATCCTGCAGAACATGCTAGAATATGGAGGTGGTTTCTGCGAGCTTCTCAAGAGCAGAGGCCTGTGTGCTTTTTTGTTTTGTTTTGCAGTTTGACCTCCAGCAGTAGTACAGTACCCAGTACTGGGCACTCTGGGGAAGGAGCATTGGTAGGAGGTCCGGTTTTAATAGTGATTCATTCCAAACCAAAGGTCCTAAGGTGAGAAGGGGCCCACCCGGCAGGCAAAGGGCCACCCTGCTCCCCACTGCGGCTGTGGCTTAGAGTAAGGCTGGGTTCCGGGCAGTTGGGCTTGGACTTCCTCTTTGGCCTCACTGCACTTCAGCAACCTCTGCATCTGTGGGTGCAGCAAGGAGCACGAACCCCAGTACCCATGCTCCTTAGATGTGCTGTGAGCTCACTAATGGTTCCGACTCCCTGGGCAGAGCCAAAGGGCACCGTAAGGGGTGACCTGCCCTTGCACTTGTGGCCTTCCTGAGAGAGACCGTTCCCTTCGGTCAGCCTGACGCCCTGCTGGGAGGCTTCTTGCTCCTGCCTCCGAAGAGCAAAAAAAGCAAAGCCAGGGACTCCTGTTTGGGCTTCATCTGCTTCATGTGCCTTGTATTTCTCATAAACTGTGGGCGCATTCCTAGAATGCTGCCTGTTTCTTGAGAACTGTTAGCTCCCGTGCAGTTATTTCCCTTCCACTCTGGCTTTTTCTCACTTCCTTCTCACTTACTTTATCTCACCCCTTGTTCCTTTCAGTTCAAAGCAGAGACAAAGGGTAAGAAGGCCTGAAAGGGGAAATGGATCTGAGCCTTGACTTCCAGTTCCGAACAAAGAGCCATCCTGTTTGTTTTATGACCTCTGTTTATCATGATTTGCATGATTTGAATGTTAGCCAGTGACCAGGGCCCTTCCCAGTTTGCAAAGTGTTTTATAGGCAGTCGGTGGAAGCCTGGTCATGGCATATGGCAGGACAGAATGGATTCAGGATATGGAACAGAACAAGGGAAGGGTGGTGGGGTGGGGGGAGGCCGGCCCCATGCCTGAGTTTCTCAGGCATCTCCCCAGGGGCGGCTCAGGAAAGCACAGACAAGTTTCCCTTCTTCCCCAGTCTCTCTGAGCAATCGTGGAGTGTACAGTGCCGTGCGAGGTGCTGTGGAGGATCAGAAAGGCCATGAGACCATGCCCTGAACCCTTGGAGGCCCTGAACCCTTGAAGGCCCCTCACCTCAGCTGCAACACTATGGTGTGAGGTCGGTGTTAATTAAGTTGTTATAGGGGCTCAGAAGACGGAAAAGTCACTCAGACACGAAGAACAGAGGAAGGGGAAGAACAGGAATGAAATGGTCTTGATGGTACAGTTACTACACAGACAGACAGACAGACAGACACATCAAGAGAGAGAGAGACAGACAGACAGAGACAGAGACAGGGAGAGAGGCTGGCAGATAGTCCATCCTCCAGCTCACATTAGGGTTAGGGTTAGGCCTAGGGCTAGGGTTAGAATTAGGGTTAGGGTTAGGGTACTACCTTGCAGTCTGGGATGAGCTGCTTGGCTCTATTGCCAGCCCCCACGTGTTGTGAGTTTTAAACAGAATGTGGTTTGGCCTTGCAACCCGTGTAGTTGACTGTAGCAGAGCAAGTGCTGCTCTTAAGAGTAACAGACTCAAGAGGTCGGGGGTTCTGAGGCTTTAGCTCTGTGAGCGGGCCCCCAGATTTCTAAGGGGACACTGAGGGCTGACTGGTTGAGGGCCCCTAGTTGGCCGTGGGAGGGAGCAGGGAAGGTGGACCCGCGAGCTCACTAAGGCCTCTCTGCCTTGGATGTGTGCAGTAAGTATGGTGACGGCAGGCAGACTGGATGGCAGAGGACAGACAGGAGGACGGGCGCCCTGGAAGTGGGGGAGGAGAAACTTGGGAGCCTGCTCGCAGTGGCCAACATTGCTTTTCATGTCTGGGTGTGTGCAGTGCTGGCCTCATTTGCTTTTGATGGTCTCATTTTACTGATTCTTTGTGGTTCTTCCTGATCCAAGTCATGCCAAGACAGTGGTTCCCAAGCTCAGCTGCACGTTAGGGTCACCACGAGAGATGCTAGGGTCCTGGCTGCCAAGACTAATCCAGATGGATCAAATCAAGATTTCTGGGGAAGAATCCAGCACCCCACTGTGCTTCCAGCTTGTGTCAGCCCACTGCAGCCAGGGCGAGGGCCCCTGTGCTAGGAACTGAGCAGGCGAAGCTGTGATCCTGAGGAAGAAAGCTTGGGAGGGAACCTGGCTTTGTCTGCTCCCAGAGCTTTCCCCTTTCCATCCCAGTTTGTATTTCTTCTCTTCGCACGTATTGTGTACAAGCAAATCAAGTTCCTGAGCGTCCTTGAGCCTAGGATTTTTTTAATTGATTAAATTTTGGGGGTACATTTTAGGTATATGTAATGATCACATTCGTCATAGGAAATCTGTACCTGTGCGTGCAATATCTGGATTCTTCCCCCCTTTCCCTACCCTCCCTTCAACCCTTCTTCACCTTTCTTCCCCTTTTTATTTACAAAAGCTTTGCTTCATTTTCCCTTCTTTTCTCATTTTTTTCTTTTTCTTCCTTCCTTTCTCCCTTCTTCCCTCTAGTTCCCTTTCCCACTTGACCTGTTCTTCCTGTTTTACAATATCTATTATACCTTTCGGTCCTTATTTATGTTTTCAGTTTCTCACACTGGAAAAACAATGCAGTGTTTACACACGTGTGTCCGATTCATTTCACGTAAGCATATGGCCTCGAGGTGCACCCCTTTATCTAGAAATGTCTCAGGCTTATGAGCTGGGACTTCTTCCTGACTTATTGCAGTGTGTAAGGAGCAGCTGAATTATAACGCTCCCCAAAGGGATCTCATGGTGTTAAAATGAACAAATATGAACATTTGCACACGAGTTTATGCCCCCACACACATATTACTATGTTACCATTAAGTTCCTAAAAACAACTGAGGGCCTATGGGGTGCCTGCACTGTGCAAATTGTACTAATA